TGTAAACCTTTTAATTGAATTTATAAGGGAAATTTTCAATAAGTACCGCCACGATAATTATAACTTTAAGGAAAAGAGTAAAAAAGCCCCCATAAAACAATGCCGTTAAAGCGCTATCATTACAGGGTTAACCAAGTTTTAACAAGGTCAGGAGTAAATTCACACTTTTAAACCTATCTATACATATAAACAATAAAATCTACAATAATCTTACCATAAGAAAACATGTTAAATTTCATTATACATTAATACTCCTCACCAGTTTGGCCCTATGCTCTAGCTTTAACATGTCTAAAAATACCCACTATTTATGATGGCGATGCGCCGTGATCATGAAGATCAGACGCTTGATATATATTCCTAACGCATTCCTTCATATGTTAATACAAAAGTATTTGAGCCAGCCGGCCTAAAAATTCGTAATGGTTATTTATACATGCAAACCACTCTAACTGTCCGGCTGATAGTAACGATACTTATAAGCTATTAGGGCTCCGATGTATTATTAATGACTTCCTGACCCTCCGGGGTAATATTTCATTTATTGGCGTGTTACAAATTTAACAAATTTAGAGCACCAATTGCCCTTTAGTTCGGCTCCCGCCAACCGATCCTCACTAAAACTAATTATATCATATAAAAAAATTAAATGAAATAACCAGGTGTTAAGACTTGCGTTGTAAATAATTTTAGGCTGTTGTAAGTCATTATTTTTAATTTGTAGTAGCTTTAATGTTTAAATTCTTCTAATCATAGGAAATATCTTTAGTATTTTGTAAAACCAATTACAGAAAAGTTAAAAAATAAAAGGATCTAAATGAGCTTACAAAGGCTTGTTTAATGGGCGTCAGTGTCGCCAGGAGGTTTAATTACATATCAAGCGTGAGAATATTACGCAACTTACAAAGCTAGTTGTCTAAATAGATACAATGAAAGGATAACTTTTTAAATCCTATGAGAAGCATAATAATATACTTACCAACACGAATAAAGCAAACAAAAAAAAAAAGAGAAGAAAGAAAACGAAAGAAATAGGGTCCTTACTCAAAGTTGGTATTTGCCTTATATGTACAATTAATAAACTTATCGTTATTGTTTAAATTTTTTTAAATTTGTTGAGTTTACCTTCATACTCAATGAAAATTAAATCTTAGCAATCAATAAAGGATATACCCCATCCGATGGAAGACGGCCGCCGTCGTGGTGCTGCCAAAGACAATTAAACCGCAAACAGCAACTAGCAAGTAAGGACCCATCCATCTCCTGTTAGCGGGCGACAAATTGAGGTAGGCCGTTTTACTACACCGTCTTTAAGAGACCTTCGATGCTCGGGACGCCTTCCATAAGATTCAGTTTAGATTTCGGCAAGGGCAGTCAGCGACCCAGCAGCTCTTCCGCATAACTAAACGGACTACTCGCGCTTTTCACTTTAAAAAGGTAACAGGCGCTATCTTCCTTGACGTTAAAAAAATTTTGATCAAGTTTGGCATGAAGAGCTCTGCTGCACAAATTGTGCTCGTTAACCCTTCTTTATGTCCTTTACAAACGTGCTGAACTCATATATGAATGGTCGCGTATTCAGCGTGCGCGTGGGGAACACACAGTCGGCGCTACAATCCTTTAGGGATCCCTTCTATGGCCCTTTTTATATGCAATATATCTATGAGCGACGTTCTCTTGCAATCAAAATTCCTACACACGAATCGTCCTCCACGCCGATGATACGGTCGTTTACTTATCTTCGAAGTCTCCCGCCTGCAACGCAAAGCATCTACAGCGCTTTTAATTACTAAGAAACGCGTTCCTTTGCTGGCGTGAAGCTTTTGTGGTGTCCTCAAGTGAAATACTTGGAGCCCATCGATGACAACAAATTATCCTGGCAGTCATAAGCGGGCTATCTAGTGGAGAAGTTCAAGGCAGCAACTAAGGCGCTTTACCCTTTACTATGCGGTAAGAGCGGGCTTTCACTGCGAAACAAAGGGCAATTGTATAGGACTTACGTTCAGCCATTAACAACATACGGGTCTGTGCCTGGGCCTACGACCACTGCAAAATAGCGTCGACTTTTTCAAGTGCGACAGAACAAATTGCTGTTTGTGCAAAATAAAGCTCCTAACCTGGACCTTCAGGTGACCCTTTAGACTTTGCTTCCAACGTAATGCCGATGCCTTTACGACAGGTTAGCTAGGCACATCATTCGCCTGGTGGTTATAACTTATTTACGAGTAATGGGAAGGGACAAGTCATAGCCGCCTACGTGACGCGCGTTAGCGCTAGTTTTTGTTTGTTAATGTCAAGAAAGTTATCACCTTTTAGAGTGAAAGCTACTTTGCAATAAGTCTGCGATTACTCTTGATTGAGAGCTCGAGCATATGAAGTTTTTTGGCTTGTTCGAGCACCAGGAACTGTCATTTATATGTAAATAAGTAATAAAGTTAGATGTTTTGGGAATTCTACTCTGTTTCTTGATAGCTTATTTTTAAGTAATTTTTATTTTATTTTAAACGTAACTAAAACATAACGGCCCCCCGACAGATAAGCTGCTAATTTATAAATTTAATAAGCTCAGTATTGAAATTATCATAAAATACCGACCATAAGCATCGCATTCCTTAATTTTTTTTATTTTGTGTTTTGTGTTTTTTATACACTACATTATTTTTATACACATAATATATATATATATTTAACTAATTCATATATACTTTTATAAATATTTTGTACGTATTTTGACACACACCTTTTATAAAGGTCTTGAAGTGCGTTGTACACTCTCATGTATATAGAGGGTTCTCGCCAAATATCCTCCTGGGGCCCTTTGTTTTTAGGCTTCTCTACTATAACTTGCTTGTGAACACAATTTATGTTCAATATACTTCCAGAAAGAGTGCTTTTAACAGTTTTTCACATTTTCTCAAGGTTTTCCCCTATCTTCAAAAAATTAGAGAATAAGGATTAAGATAAAATCTTCTTATGTAAAAATGGTTTTTAGAGTGTGTGGATACTGGGGGTTGAATTTTTAAACTCACTTATGAACACAAATGAAATTACTCATATCGTTCATAATTCTCTCTACAACCTTGCAATTCCGACTTGAACCAGAACGAGAACCAAGAAATGTGAGAATCTGTGATGTTCTCTTAATTTAAAATAGCAGTGCCTAGTTAAAAGATAAGATGCGCTAAAAAAGCAATCAATATTCTAAATAGGAGAATTGATAATATATTCACTACTTTAGACCACACTGGAGGATTATACCAACGGGCCACGCTGTGTGTTAAAAAAAAAATTATACGTTTACGATGCTAATTTCTAAGGGTTTAAAAAACGGTTCTTTCCTTCTGTTATTAGAGTATTAGAAGTCCTTTGGTTATAGTAGAGGACTTACGCATTACCCATACCATCTTTAGTGACTATATAGTGAATAGTAAGAACGTGCAGTACATTATATGAAAAAAACTAGTTGAGTGAAACTAATGCTACAAAGGAAGGAGCTGACTAGATAAGGAAAATTTTCAAATAGCTTGGTTAAGTGACTTGAAAGAAAACTAACGAAAAATGCATGAAAATATTAAAGGTTGCATTCAGACCGTTATTAATGAGGAAACGAAAATCTTGCGAGTCTTATATTATTGAGCGCAGACTTCCCCTACAATGCGCTTACCATGTAGATTTTAAGTAATCTGCTGAAATAAAGGTATCCTAGCACTATTAACTCTTTATCATATCCATCCACCATATTGTCTCTTCAAGTTTCCCCTAACTTTTTTTCACTGATAAATGGCATAATATAAAGGTTTAATTGCTTATTATCGTTATTCTTTCCCGCTTTGAGAGAAGTTAGTGAGTCAACTTCTATGTTATTTTGTCTTGCCTCTCCAGCACTGTACCTAGTTTAAAAGTGCACTTCTTAATTACTCGGTTTATATCCATCATTTTGAACTTAGCTGTTAACCAACTTAAATACAATTTCAACTAATACCTAACACAAAACAAAAACCGAAGGCACAGTTAAAAACAAAAAATGCATAAACACTAAATACAGAAAACACACAACGCAAAAGAAAAACATAATTAAAAAAAAAAGGACATCAACATAAAGCATGGAACACAAAAACAAGTACATTACATTAAACATTAAATACACTAACCATAAAACAAAAATAACTGAATGAACACAAAAACAAGAAAACACGAAACACAACCCCCCAAATTTTTACAGGAAAAATCTTGAATTGCTGCTTTGACCATGGCCATAAAGGGCTCTACGTGTTGCCTTTAAGTTAATCGCTTATCGATGATGACTCCCAAGTATTTGGCCTAAGAGTCCAATGGGATCTTAACACCTTTGAAGGTAAGAGGTAGGGGCAGCGTGACGCATCTGCTTGAGATGAGAATTGCTTTGCTCTTCATTCCATTAATGTTTACTCCCCACTGCCTACATCAGTTGGTAAATGTTTCCTAATAACTTTGCAAGTGTTGCCGTAATAATAAGGGGCTCTTTAAGATATCATAAACTGCAGTGTCGATGGCATAGAGTACAACGCGGGTATGAAGTTTCGCAGGGAGTGGAATATCTCGCAAGTATAGCTCTAAGAGTAGGGGCGAGACAGAGAATCTTGCGGAAACCAGCTGTCAATCGATGGTATGGCGAAAGCGCAGCCCCAACAACTCTCGCTCAAAATGTGCGTCCGCATATAAACAAGGAAATAGGTTGTAGAGAGCTAACGGATTACCTGACCTGCTAGTTTGCGTAGAGGATCCTCGCGCCGTACGCAGTCGAAGGCCTTTTCAACATCGAGAAATACGAAGCCAGTGGACTTTTTAAAATTAAAGTTCGGAGCTGTCCACTCAACAAAGCTCAAAACTTGTTGTGTCGTCGAATGGCCTCTTCGGAAACCAAATTTGAATTCTGAAGCGCTTTGTTTGCTTCTACAAACTTTTCCAACCTGTGTAATAAAAACCGCCTGGATGTTTTGCCCACCGCTGGAAGAAGGCTATCAGGGCGATATTTGCTGGCATTCGCTGAAGCCTGCGGGGTCATAGGGTAGCAACACGATAGTGTCGTTTTCATCGCTCTGGAAAGGAGCCAAGCATACAATGCAATGTTGCAACCCAGAAGGGATGGAAAATCGTCCTTTGCGGCAGCTTTTTTAGCACTTAGTAGTAATATCGTCGGGTCTGGGCGCTTACCGTCGTGAAAGTGCAGAAACTACATTAGCGATTTCATCAGGTGTGCTCTATTTAATAAGTCCGGCAATAATAATCAGGGGGTTCTGCTTGGTCTCGCCTTCTTCCTCGGAGATTTGCCCAAGTGGAGATGCGCTTGGAGTAGCTAGGTGGTTGGCAAAGAACGTCGCCTAGACTTCACCGCTTTCCACCACTATCACACCGTTATTAAGTGGCGGAAGTAGTGCGCGGCAACGATTTTTAATCCGTTTGACGGTGCGAAAAAAGATGGCCGTCCTTCCTCATCGGCTACAGGCATATTCTGCAGGTTTGCCTCTCAGCAATTATTGTGAAAGGCAGCCAGCACCTTTCTGATGTGTTGGTGAGGAGGGTTTAAAATCAGTTGATCGTCGGGGTTTACATAACAGCAGCCGGGCGTATTAACCGGCGTCCTTGACGAATAAGGTTCATTAAATAATCCAGTAGACGGTCAGGGCGATACGCGATTACGCAGCTGGTTGTCGCAGCAGCATGGGCAGCTGTCAGTGCGCCCTCATAATTATTGGCTAGCTCCAATAAAACGGACAAGGTGGTTCGATAGGAGCTCATGCAGCTCTGCGATTGATATCGACTGGTCTATATCTTAAAAAATGGCTATGTCGAGGATGTCTGAAGTACCCTTTTTTTCATTGCGTCTGGAGTTGAGGTTCTCTGCACGCTAATGTTGTGTTGGTGCGCATTTTTCTCAAGAATTTTCCCGTTCGAATTATTAACTCGTCTGTCCCAAGCGGCGTGTTTGCAGTTAAGGTCACCATTATGAATGACGGGCAAGTCACATTGTAGCAGTTTATACAGCTCACTTGTAAGCAGCGCTCTGTAGGGAGGAAAAGGGGAAATTTTGCGCTTTCTATGTAACCTTTATATATTTCAATATCTCATAATCCTCACTTCTAGACAGTTACTCATAAATTTTTTTTATTTGCAGGTGCTCGTTCCGGTCATAAAAAAATTACCGAATTTACGAGCTCTTAACAGGGTAATAGCGTACACATCAGCTGTCAGCATTAGTTAAAGCCATCTCATATGAATATGAAAAATAATTGTACCCTTATTAACCCATATTACATATTTATAGCCCACTGCGCGGTTGGCGTAGCGTGCGCCGTCCCAAATTCTGTAACTAATCTTACCTGCCAGTAATCGAATGGAGTGCTGATTGAGCCGATCGTAGGTGACAATAGCACCACGTCGAAAAACGTTACCCAGAGGTTCAATCTGGTGGGTCTTAATGCAAAGCATCGTTGCGAACAAACCACGGCGCCCACGTTATAAGGCATACAGCTTGCTTTACCTCACTTGTAGCGAAATGAACTGTTGCCGGTGAGTCTTGGGTCCAGACAGTAGAGGGGTATGTAATGATGGTCGGGTGCACAACAGATATAAGCATTCGTTATTGTGCAACAAAAGTTTGCTTCGGGCGCAAAGTAAAGGGTAAAAATTTGAATAGCAATCTTCGCCCGATATAGTTTACTGCTGTCGCACGGAATCTTATCATTATTGACCTCCAAGTATTTCGCTTGGGGAGACATAAAGGGATTGCCTTACTCAAAGGTTAGCGGTGGTAGTGGTGTAGTGCGCTTCTCCTGGCTTTTCTCTTTTACGCATTAATAGTAACTTTCCAACGATGACACCAGCGGGCGAACGTCGCTAGGTAATACTGAAGATGCCGGCGCAACAAGGGCAGGCGACTTCGATTAGTAGTAAATCTTCATATCACCTGCATATAAGGCAATCCGTGTATGGAAGCCACAAATTGCGCGCAGTAGCCTTCCTACTGTTCTTTTAAACGTGACCAAAATTTCACTTTAAATAATGCTTCTTTAAAAAACGTTTAAGATGTCTAACAACCGGAATACCACGAGGATTTCTCTCAATCTTACTCTTTTCACGTTATGTGCGCGACGAGCCACAGCCTTAATCCTTGGCGTAACAAATTCTTGAGCGCCTTATTAAAACCTCAAATCCTTCAATATAGTAACCGCTCCACTCAGACTTACAACCAACTAAAAAGCTACTAATTATAGTATTTATATTAATTAAAGCCTAATCATAAACAAAATAGTTCTATAGGCAGCATGCTAACTGGTTGTAAAAATACTTGAGATTCGAGAGACCTTGAATTTGAAAAAATTGAATACATCCCAACAAAAATATAGAAAATTTCATAACTTTTCTCATTACCACAAGAGGACTTCCACCCCTGTAAATAAACACAACAGCAGCAGCATCGACTATAACCTGGAATTATCGATTGCCTACACTTTATGAAACCAAAATCGGTGTGCAAAGAGTTACATAAATTTTGTTACATACTTGTATAGTATAAGACTAATGCAAAAAGGCTTGCTAAAGTTGGTAAGCGGTTTATATAAACTCCTAAGTAATCTACTTTATGTCTAATGCATTTTTGATCATGTTAACGAGAATATAATAGCGAGGTATTAAAGCGTGTAACTTATAAGTGGCGAAAACAAAGCAAAGGAAATTTAACCCATAAATGTAAATTCGCGCAATAGTCCACAAACACTAGAAAAATAGTCAATACCGCTTTTAAACTGTGACCAAAAAATTAAAAAACTATTACTTTTAAAATGTAGTAACCGTGCGGAGCAAACTGCACCTACTTTTTAAATAAAACTTTAACTTATAATAATTAACACAAGTCTTCATTTTATTTAGTTTCTATAATAAAAATTTACAATAAAAAGTTGTGGCTCAGTAACACGTCCTGCTTAGCAAGCTCCAACAACATTGGGTCATCAAAGAATTTGCTTATAAAAACATCTTCGCTAAGACCTTTGCGGCGTCGAGTTTTGAGCACAAAGTCTCTAGCCAGAGCTAACGGCGGTTGAGGTTCAAGTGGTCGTATTTGAATGCTTTTATCGAGGGGGTCGCCGGGCACAATCTAAGCGTTACAGGAAAAGAAAACTCGAGCCTTCTAAAAGTTAGACGTAGCTCCAGAGTACCTGCCAGTGGTGAAATTCTGAAGTGCAGAAGGCCTGTCCCTGGGTGTGCATACGCAAGTCCGTCTCGAAGCCAAAGGAGTCCATTACGGGCACGTAGGCCTTCACCACGTACAAGGGTGAGCCCGGCTTGGGAGCGTCTTGCACGATATGACCTCTGAAGGTCATAATAAGAAAGCAACAATACATGAGAATAGAACCGTCAAATACCTCCTTCTAGAAAGCACGTTGTACACGGCAGCCACGCAGTCAGCAGGAGCTGTTATTTCAACGGAATAGTAAGGTTCCATTAATCTCGGAGTGGCCATCAAAAATGCAGAATATGCCACGCGGCGAGCCGTTGGTATAATTTGTCCGCCCCCTTAAAAGGATTTAATATTTAAATACAAACCAAAGCAAAAGGAAAAGACCTCTCTGGATCGGCTGATCCGATATTACGGCGTCAAGTATCTTAAACTTGACATTCCGGATAGGTTCGTCGCAAAGAGGGCCCTCACGGGTGGCCCACTGGAAGCCTTGAACGACCGAATCCCTCACGGAATAGAGCAGCTGCTTGTTCACTTCAGAAGGCAAAGTGTCATCGACGAGGACATTGGGCCCATCGTTATCCGGACCGAATGCCCATATTGAACGAGCGGCAAGCAAGTCCCAATCGTACTTGCTTTGAAAGTAGTCACTAATAAAGATGCCGTTTCAAAAGTGCGCTGAACAGTCATTAAATAATAGACGGGAACCTCATTTTCTTCTTAGACCACTGTAAAACGACTTTTCCTGTTTCAATATCTTCAGCCAAACCTTCTTCGAGTGGTTCTAGATAGGAAAAGCGCTATGCATAACACTATACGACATTAGCGGAAGGAGAATAACCAGCAATCATTGTAAGTTTATTTTTCTGGTTAGGTGTTTCTGCAAAACACTTAATTGAGGAGGTCTCCACGATGGTCTCACGAAAGCGGGTAACCGGATCAGAGACTTTGACTTCAATATCTACGACAGTGAGATAAGACCAGAATGAGATATCTCGCACAGCGCATGACTCACCAGAATACATGAGACGCAGATCGTGCATCACACAGTCCAAATAGAGTTCACCCGTACCGAATGCGACATATTCACCGGATTCTTCGGCCTTCGTTTCCAATAACGGATAAGTTTTATTGACGGAGCGGAGACCTTCTAGCATTTTAGGAAGCTCAGAAGGGTTCAAAGGCTCAACAGAGATTTTGCAAACGGCCTAGTTCAATATTATAAGCTTCTAGGCGACCAATTAGCACAGGAGGGAACCTGTGTGGGGAAAGTCAGCGGCCGAAAAGTGCATGCTTCCTCGTTCTGAAGGTCGGTGATGGTGGCCGTTTTAGAAATGAGGCTATCCACTCCTGAAGAGGCAAATACACACAGAGGTGACACACTTTCTAAGACTTGTACATGCCTTGCATCATGATCCAGCCGCCCGCCTGTAATTTGTTTACTTCGATCATGTATCTCGCCTCGCCTATAAGCCAGTAACGTTAACAAAGACTTACATAAATAAGCTAAGTGCTGTTAAAACAAGTGCTAACCAATAAACATCTTCGATATGACCTCCTTTTTCATATCTTCCTCATCCTCAAGCGTATACTTCTCGCCCAAGACTCTGACCTGAAGGGGGGAGAAAGTCCGCACGGTTCTTATAAAGAAAACAAACATAACGAACGACCTTTTGACCAGTTTCTACGGTTCCGCTCATTATCCGGCCAAACGCGTAAAAGTGAGTGGCATCGTCGCTTGGAAACAATTTCACTATATAGATCATAAGGGGGGCTTCCGGATCGCAACAAAGCATCCCCAGGGCGGTCCTCGTGTTCAAGTCCCCTTTATAAATGCGCTGCAGAACATTGAAGCAAATATAATGACTACTCTAAGATAAGCTACCCGAATTAACTGCTCTGCATTCTGAGAGGGCGACGGAATGTGGCTGGCAAGCATATCAACAAAACCGCAGTGCGGGCCTGCAGTCCGGTGTGAGCAGTACTTAAACTACTTTTACAAATAAGTAATCAAAAGCATCTACCAAAAAATCGTGATAAGACTATTCGCAGCAAAGTTTTTATGCTTGCACGACATTCCGCTTTAGTCAGTTTAACGCTACGAAAAAAAGAAAGTTAAAAAAAATTGGTTTCTATCAAAGAAGTACCCAAGTTCTTCCAAAGTGGACACTAAACCAAAGTCAGCTTCTCCCATGACCTTATATTATTAATGAAGGGGAAAAGAACAACAAAATAACACGGAATAAACATCATAACGAGCTCATAAGAGAAGAAGTGCAAACCTGAGAGTACAGTTTGTACAAAGGCATCAGTATAAACTCCACAAAAGTGCGTTTGACATCTGCATGTGGAGGCTTTCTAGAGAAGGTTCGCGTCTACCAGAGACACATAGGAATTTTGAGGCAAGTAACACACACCAGTAGTGCCAGAAAACCTTGGCGTTGAAGTAAACGTCCCCCCAGAGCCGCCTAGCAAACTCTTCCATCTCCATATCGATCCCTACAGCCCAGCACACTGACCCAGAAAGCTCGTATATAACGAGGAGAAGGTACCATGCAGGGAGGCATAAAGGCTTGCAAAAGAGCGCAAAGTAAACGACCAATTGCTTTTACTGCTGGCGAAGACCACATTGCCCAGGTACGGGGAGACAAGTTTCTTCTCACTTCCAGCAAGCATAAGGACGTTGTTGACCTCGTCAACAATAAGTTTTAATTTAAAGTAAGCATCGTTAGGTGGTAACTTCAACTCTAAAATAAGTCTATCAATTTTGTTTATGCACAGTGTGATGGCCAGTCGTTCCTAATAATCATAGAAGCATCAAAAAAGGAAGTGCCAAAGTAAAGGGCAGAGCATACTTGCAGGGCATGGCGAATAAGGTTTTCAGTATTGGCCATAACACCGTCGATAGCATCAACCACTACGACAACACCGTCACAAGCACGCATGGCAGCTGCGGCCTCATCAATGAAGTTGACGTGGCCTTAAATAGAGTCAACAATGGGATTTCAACAGGCATATAGTAAAGATAAAAGAAAGCTAAATTCCTTAAGCATACTAAAAAGGCATCAGGTAATAATCATCTACAGGAATACCGGGCGTATCTAAGATGTTGATAACGTAAGACTTATCAATTGAATTCTGTAAGATTAAGCTTAAAGGTGTGCACTTAATGCTCAGGCCCCGCTCCTGTTCTGTAAAAAGTTTATCGGCATATCTACTCTGAAAAAAAAAATTGTTGTTTGGCCAATAAAATTACTATAAAACGCTAAAAATAACCTGATATAAACCTTCGTCTTGGTTAAAATAGTGAGGCAAGTGGTGAGTCTGCTGGATGAGACAGTCTACAAAAGTAGTTTTTCCAGAATGAAGAGCGCCGACTAGAGCAACGTTGCGAATTAGATTAGGATTATCAATCATATCGGCAAGAAACCTAATAAAGTTATAACAATCAAACAGAACTTAAGTAATAACAATAAAAAAGTTAAACTCTTTGCTGTAAGTGGTCTCCGGAAGCTCTTTCTCAGAATAAGCATACTTCGAGGATTTAATGGGTAGTACAATAGGTTCCTCAAGATCCATAGTATCTTCCTCCTGCACAAGTGTTTCCACTCCCTCTCCTAAGTATGGGCTTGTAAATAAAAATAGAAGCAAAATTATCGTTATTATGAGCTGACCATATATTTCGCTAGCCTCCGGATAATATTTTTTGTCCTCATGAAGAATAATGGCGTTGCTCTCAACCTTCATAAACAAAAAGGGAGATAAAACGAAAGGTCGCGCTTCCTTGTAAAACAAACCTGAATAACATCTTCACTCTCTATTTCTTCCATTCTAGAAGTCTCTTCATCTCCACCTAATGTATAAAAGTAACAGCATTAATCTTGACAATAAAACTGGGAGAGTACCATATAATATAGTTTCATAACAAAAAAAAACTAAATTTACCTTGTAATTCTCTCCAAGCGTTTGTAGCATCAGTTTCAGTTTCTTCGGGAGAAGACTCCTCCGACTCCAGAGCGGGTCCAATATAGTTCCCAAACTCATCGTATAAATCATTACCATCCATAAGAAACAAATACTGCAATAAAAATATAAACGTTAAATAGCAATTGTAAATAGCAAAACTGAAGCTCTTCCTTTGCACCCCATGTCATGTGCTTGGTGCCCTTAATTTTTGATTATAAAGATTTGGCATTTTTCCATTACATAAGTATTTGATATTGTAAGCAGTTATAGTTGGTCGAATGTTATCGTCAATAGTACGTTTCTGCTCACAGTTTTTTTTGTTACTAATCATTTTTATAATTATTAGGGAGAGACTGAGTTAACAGATGGTTTTTTGGACAATTTAGGGAATTCTATGTTTCCCCCAGTTGTTATAAATAGAGTGAATGCTATAAAAAATATAATGGTTTACTTTTACATTGCAAGTTATATTATTTACGTTATCATTTAGTTATATAAAGGCGCAACAACTACAAATTGAGTATAAGCAGACTGCAGAACTCGCTGAACTAGAGAGGAGGTAACATTGAAACTATATTTATGTTTTATTTTTAATCTTCTTATAATAGATATTGAAACTATATTTATGTATTATTTTTAATCTTCTTATAATAGATACCAGAGTATTTTTGAGCCTTTCTATAGAAGACGTGCTGAAATTATATCAGGCGTTTACGAGCCCACCGTTGAGGATTGCTATAACCCAAGTGACGCAGAAGTAGTTTTTTGTTTTGGTTAGGCCTTTACCGTTGAAGCCATTTACTTTTAGGAAGACATAGAATTATTTACAAGAAGGCATATTCTACCTACTTCTGGATCTGGATTAAAAAAAGGTATAAAAAGTTTGTGAGTTTTTTCTTTTTCGTGTTCAATTTAAAAAGGCGAACTAGGCATTCCGAATTTTTGGCTAACTGTTTTACAAAGCTGCCCACCTTTGAACGCTTTAATTGAAGAACATGACCAAGAAGTTTTGCAATTTTTGGAGGTTTCTATTAACTTAAATTGAGTCTTCTTTTTATACTTGTTACCTTTTATTACTTTTTTAGGACATACGATCAGAGATGCTGGAATTCAACGAAAACGTCGGCGGCTACAAACTTATATTCGTTTTTCGAAAGAACAAATTTTTTTCTAATAAAGAACTTTGCAAAACCTATTACTACGCGAAGAACGGTAATTTTCTGAACGCTGAAGTTTTTGAGCGGGCAGAGAGGTACTTTTATTATGTTTATGTAAATAGTTACTTATTATTTTAATTTCATTTGATAGCTCCACAATCTACTGGTTTAAAGATATGGATCTTTCTGTGGTTCTGACTAAGAAGAAACAAAGACACAAAACAACCGGTTTATTTTCTCTTTATAGCTTATTTATTGTGTAACTTTTTTGCTTAGGGAAAACACGAGTTTTTATAAAAAAGGAGGAGAGACCTACTTTTTTCACCTTCTTTAGGCCCTTCAAAGCTGCCTCAGTCGAGGAGTGTAGTGAAAGCGAAGTAACTTTATCCACTGCAGGCAGACGCTGCACTCACTAAGGCTATTCTCTCACGTGGTTACTTCTTAGGAGGCCCCCTTTGCTATCGAACAGGACATTAACGTGGCAGAACTATTACGCACTACCATAATTCCTTACGCCGTCCTCTGTTATACGGGTGAACTCAACATGGACGACTTATATTCGGTGTGATTGGCTTTCGGAATAGCAAAAAAAGAGAGAAAACTTAATTTATATTATACTTCATTTTAGGATGATATTCCGAGTGAGGAGGAAAAGAGCGAAGAGTTGGACTCTTTGCTTACTTAATAGAGAGCAAAGCGCGCTTAATTTTTAATCGACCTTTTTATAGTATAAGCTTTTTTCCGTCATGTGCGGTTAGTAAACAAAACTTGTATTAACTTATTTGATTCTTCATATGTTATTATGTTCGTATAGTTTTAGTAACTCTTGGGGTGTCTCACTTTTTTGCGTCAAAACTTTAAGTTTATTAAACGTCTGAGACCTGAATTAGAAAAATAATAAATTAAATTTTTTTTCTTGTAGATAGTAGATATAAACAGGCATCTGAACGCATCGTAATTTTGGAAGTTCTTAATTAACAATTTGCAAAAATAAGTTAAAGGTGTTTATTAAAGTGATCATGACTACTTAATTATTTTTGTGAAAGTCATAGAAACCACGATGTTGGCCTGTGATGCATTGCGTTATTCACATAAAAACTTAGTCTTCTTCTTGCTTATGGAATTTGAGCACCTCGCAGAATTCTTGAACTCGAACTTAGTAGTGGCAGGCCCTGTCTTTTGCTCATATTTGCATTGTTGTTTGATAGCATGGGTGGATCGAGGGTTGTTGCAGGCGAAACGTAATTATATCTGGGGGGTTTTCTTGTAATAAGGGTTGTAGGGCACGCCAATTTCATCCTCCACTTCATCGTCTTGCTTTAATCGAAAGACTACATGCCGTCTTTTCGTTTATCAACAAATTTTAGGCGGACATTTCGAAACAAATTCATAAACCTGCAATCTCCAAGTCAAGAAAAATAGAAATATCGTTTTAATATTCTTTTTATTAGATAAACAGAACTCAGGAGGTTATTATTTTTACTGTGGCCTCAGCAATAAAGGATCGTTCCAACTATGCCTTAAGTTTTTCGTGAGGAAGCCTCTTTTTCTAGAGGATAAAACCGCTTTGATTTTGTTGTAGGTTAGTTGAAATAATTTCCTGATTTCAGCGTACTATAATAGAGCCGTGAAGGTAGTCCATTTTAATAGTTCGCTAAAAGCTGGTGGCAAGATTTTGTCGTAAACTTATTTACGACCTTTTAAATTTAATGTTTTCTTACATTCTTTGGCGTAACTACTAAAGTTTTTCAAGTCTAGAGGGCCTCAGTTTTTACAACCCAATAAATATATCTATCAAGTTTAAAAACAACGTACTGTTAAAAGTTAGTAATACTTTGTAATTTTTAACGAAAAGATAACGAGTTTAAAATGGATCATAATGAAAACTTTATTGTACAAGAAAGGAAAGTTTAGCCGCTAAAGGAGGAGGGAATCGACAATGCGTTGAACATCAAAGCGATGAAGATCGGTATAAGTTTGTCCCGATCCAACAAAGACAATAGGGAGGCCAGAAGTATAGACCATACTCAATGCGGCACCGACCTAATATAGCAATAATAATGATAATGATATTGATATTGAAGAAGACAACTTTATCATCTACGGTATCAAACTTTGTTAGAATGATTCCATCGATGATAGTCTTTCGATTGGTCTATTAAGTATTATTTTCTAAGAGCATCAGTCATAGTTATGAAAAGAGGACATCTGAGTGTCTTGCGAGGGCCTGGTTAAAACGGGTTAACTGGTCAACCGCTTCGTTTCCCACGAGAGCCTCGCCAACAAACAGTACCAAGCTAGGCTTGTTTACTCTTACAATCTCATTAAATATTATTATAAAGTTAGCATTTTAGATTAAAAAATATAAAAACTTAGCATATATTATAATATATGAAGTAAACGAGAACTTTAGCTAACGAGCGCATCAAAGGTTCGTTGTCTTGCATTCTTCCGGCTGTGTCGATTAAAACAATTTCAATTCTTTCGTTTTTGGCTGTAATTTGTTATTGATTAACACAAATAGCATTTATATTATTTAAAGTAAAGTCAACCAAAGCGAATGGCTTCAGAAGCAATAGCAGCATCATCCTTATTATAGCCTAAAAATATTAATCAAGTACAATAACAAGTCTATAACATTAAAATTTATTTAAAAAAACGGTTGATGTAGAAGATCCGAATTATATAACTTACAGCGCTGTTGCTTTATTTATATGCTTAACTCACATGTATTTATTAATTAGATATACGCGAATATAATATGAGAAGCCAAATGTGTAAGCCAGAAGTAAATCTACTTTTACAGTTCACTTTTTACAAATATTGTTGCTAAACCGCTTTCTATTTGATAATTATTACGTGAATCTTCATGAGTATAATAAGAAGCGCCAGATTGTTTCTCTTGCTATTGGAAGAGAAAACCTCTAGTGAGAGCAGAAAAGGCCCATCGTAAATGTGTCCACTTCTCAGCGGGTCCAAGAAAGAAAATAAACAAAACCCTTATATATAGTAAAGCTTATAGGATTTACTCACAACACATTTATACTGTTGCACTTTGCGAGCTTTTTAATTAAAGTTTCTGTTTTCTATAAACACAGGCATTCTACTGCTTAAAAGTTTCGGTTCTTCGTAAACTTTAGAACGGTAGGAAAGTAAATCCTAAAGTAGAGAAGATAAAGGCGGACTGGCAAAACTCATTAGTAAATCTAAACGGACGCGAACGCATTGAAAATCAAACGAAATTTAAATTTTAGGCTTCTTTTGAGACGTTAGCGGTGTCATATGCTTTAGTGAATAGGTAATAACGAGTTTACGTAAATATTTCTCGATAAAAAAAAAGTTTGTCGACGGTGGCAAAAAATAAACGAAAAAAGCTTATAATAACACTTTTCCTAATAGTGCGAGACCTTTGTGAATCCCCAAAAAAAAAAATTTAAATTTTTTCTCCACCCAACAAGATAAAGGAGAGCGGGGATACCTCTTTCTAACAACTTCACAAAGCCTTTTCCCTTGTGGATTTCATTTAGTTTAGTCAAAGCCTGCTGGTGGATGCGAAGCTAACAGAAAGCGCAACAGATGAGTTGGCAGAAAAGGAAGGCTACTAACAACAACGACCTGCTCAACAGCTCCAGACCGAAACGTGTCGCAGGCAGCAATTAGAACTTTGTAGTCGTTTTGTAGAAGCCAATAGGCAACTTTGGCTAAATTAGTCGATTTACCTTTTTAATAAATACAAATAGGAATGGATATAATAATATTTATAATTAAAAATATGCACCGACTCCATTCACGCCACAAAAAATGATAACAAATGGCAAAGTGCCATCCGACACCGCCGCCCGAATTTCCCTCAGAATATCGATCGGCTTTACACTCAACAGTTGCTGCAGCGTTCGCACAAGAGAGTCGCGAACGACAGACCTCAATGCTTTAAATAGTTTGAAAGTGTGATTGATAACATGCATGCGAAGGAGAGTATTAAGTAAATATTGGTAGAAAACTTCTTATAAAGTTTTCACTCAAAAGTTGTTATTGGCTACCACTTAAACTGCACACTATCGACCATCCGAAACTCCACTTCTGAATGGCAAAGTACAAGTGGCGAACACTTTCCCAATAATAGTAAAAAGGTGTAAAGTTTACAAAAGCACAGCTTACGTGTTCCTAATCAAAAATTAATAAATTTTCTCACACACTTCAAATATAATAGTCTTTTTTAAATAAACATTTTTCATAATTACCCTCTTATAAGTATGAATACACGCATAAAACAACACACCTAAACAATTATTTTTCTTTGTTATTTGCAATAGCCATCATTAAAAACCTTTCAAGCTCGACTTGTGTGTTCCAGTCAAATCGGAGATTAAAGCGTTTCCGATGTCCTCAGCAATCCTCAGCGCAACATTTTTGGAAACTAAATGTCTCTTGAACTGTTCAACCACACTGCTGAGGCTTTCCTTCGTGATAGTCTACTCAATAAACAGGTAATAGCTTCACTCAAAATACAAAAAACAAGCCAACAGCATCAACCTGAGAACCGACAAGCCCACTGAAAAAGGAGTAGACGGAAGAACCAAGTGGAGTAGAGTCTTCAGTCCCCTCCTCTGATGCTATTGGCGGGTTAGTGCGCATAGAGTGCCCCTGCACAGACTTTACGAGCTCCTTGAAAAGTTCGGCAAAGTTCTGTAAATAATGATAACCATCATATATGAATTGTACTAAACTTCTATTTTTCCATGGTTCCGGGCGCCTTCGAGTTCATTAGAATAATCCAAGTGTTGAGTGTTCCGATTGCTAAGCTCCCATTTACGATCTTTTTTCTTCCTACTTAAAATGGAATATTATTATTGTTGCTGTTATAAAAGTTTTCCTTCAAAGCGCTTAACTTTTCTTTTAGTATTCTTGATGGACGTTCTTTCTATATAAGAATATACTTATTCTTACGCTTCATTAGTTGCAAGACGTAATTACCATTAATGCATGCACTGGCTTCTCTGCGTGCTTTCCACGTGACTTACATAAAGATATAGAAAGGTGGTACTTTTTTAATTTTACTAATTAAAATGTTATATAATAACATAATGCCAAAACTTCCATATTTTTTAAGCTTCAATAACAATAGTTTTTTTATAAATAAGTTTTTCTACTAGAGGGAGGGGGTTATTCCCCCCAAAAAAATTAATGCACCGATTTATAATAAATTTTTACTTTTTAAGAAATTTTAAAATATATTTTATGAGAAAACAATCAAGAACAGAAAAAAAGACAGTGATTTATTATACTTTTATAATGCTATACACTAGTTTTAAATAATAAAGTTGTTAGAGGGATATAACTGAACTAAGGATTATAACAAGAAATCATCCCTATTTGTTTCAAATTAGATACCACGAAACGCTAAAAGATTATATATAGAAATAAAATGCTAATATTTATAAGTTTAAATAATATATATAATTTATGATATTAATTTGCATAATAAAAAAATTATAAAGCCTACAAAAAAATAATTTATTATATTATTTAAAGTATTATACATTATAATAAGCATAATATGTATATTTTTTTTTTCAAACATTGTATATGGTATTTTAATAATGAACTGCTAAATAATTGCAGTTTTATTATTTCACGTAAAAGTCAGTAAAGATTACAGAGAAGTTTACATACTTTATGTATACAACAAAAAATTGTTATATAAACATATATAACTTTTAATGCAGAGAGAGAGAAGTCGTGCAAGGCCGTTGATTTTGCTTTCTGTTAATGATGTTATAAACAGATATAAAAGTTTAATAGTATATAAATATTTATAATTAACTCATAGTTTATAAGATAAAATTTCATTTTACAACTTTTTAAAAAGTAGAAAGAATAAAAACAATATAAAACATAGAAAAAAAAAATTAACTACTAGAATAGTACAATAAATAAACTAATAATTTAAGCGAGAACCAAAAAATAATGCAAAGAACGAATCACACGTGTTTAAATGGGTCATCTAACATATTAGTGAGGAGACGGCAATAAATCAAGTGACTAAATTTCATCATATGTTTCTTATGAAATGCGCGATTCCCCAACAGATATTAAAACTCGTAATGAACCGATAAAATATTATTATAAAGACTTGAGTCTACTTTCTCAGCTCATTTCGTTGATATTGTTATAGAATTTTAAAACAAAGTCAGTCTTACGGAGAATACAATCCATCTAGAAAAAAGATACAATATAAAAATATACAATTTCTCTACTGGACTTTTCGAGAGACTCATAAATATTCACGAATTCATTAGAAAAGGAAGGATCCTCGCTCATGTGACGGTGGAGCTCCCTTTAATAATATTACCGAAAAATAAGACATAAAGAAGTTCCCGATTGGTCGTAGACAAGACAATGATGTCAATAATATTGAACGAACAAGTAATAAAAAAGAAAAAAGAAGAGTATATATAATAGTAATTATTAGTGGAATATTTATAATAAAAAGTTTTTATGTAACAGCAATAAATCAAAATAGTTGTTATTCTACAGAATATAAAACGATTAAAATAATCACTTTACCAAAAAAAGTTATAACTAGTAAAAAAATATAATTATGTTATTTAAGGATTATAAGGAAAAGTTTATATTAATGTTATTCAATCCTCTTGAATTCAAAACTAAAGATCTTCTTCTCCAGTCACAAACAAGATATTGAAATTTTTAAAATTTATTTTCTCAATAAAAAGTTTTTATGCCGAAAACTAAAGGGCTGACCGCTCATATTGCCATAATATAATAAATGCACAAAAAAAACAGATTTCTTACGGGATTGCACCGTTTACAATAAAAAATCTCTAAAAATTTAACTTTTACAAAACTCTTCCAATTTTACTATTCTCTAAAAAAAAAAATTTGTATAAAAAGTTTTGATAATACCGAAAATTCATTGATAAAAAGTTACCTAACTTTTGTAATAATAATCATTCCTTGCAAGTAAATTTACAATTTTTAGATGAATTGCAAAACTATATAGTTGCAAGTAAAAAAAAGTATATAATAAAAAAAAAGCAGCCAAGTCCCGAAGTATGCACAAAAAAAAATTGTTATAAAATGTATAAAAGGGACCAACTTATTATAATTTCTTTTACTTATAAAATTTTGAATAAAAATAAATTTTAGTATTAAATTAATAATGTAAGTATTATTATATAAAAGGTTTCGTCGAGTAAAAGAAAAAAAATTAAAATAAGTAACGGAAAAATAAAAACCACAAGGCTAAGGGATCATCAGCAGTACATTTTTCCAAAGATGCCGTTATGCGAGTCCAAAAAAGAAAAAAACTTTTTCGAACTTGACATAAAAGAGCATCCAAATAACCGGCTTTAGAGAGGAGGCCTGTGAAGACTACAGCCTAAAAGTGATAACAATTAATATTAATAAAAGTAATTCTATTAATGGATAATGTGTTGATAAATAATTAATATATATTATATTTAACAAAAATAGATACTGATTTCAAAAATTAAATCTATACGAGGAAAAAAAAACTTTTGTATAAAATTATTAAAAGAAAACTGTTATATAATTCGTAATAACTATTAATTATAAAAAATAAAAAAACAAGTAAACTTTTTATGTACATTTGGTTATAATAAATTTAATTATCAATAATATTTATAAATTTATATAGCAAAAAGTGATAATTTGTGGTCCTCTTTAGTTAAGTCTCTATATATATATACAAAACATCTTAAATTATAAAGTATATGAATTTCTAACGTTCCTAATTTTAATAAATTTAAAAGGAAAAAAAAAGACTAAAACAGTTTTTAACTAATATACTTTTTGTGAATAAAATTTTTAAACTGCAGTTAAATTAAAATTTTAAAGTGTTTAAGAATCGTATTACTTAAAGAGAAAAAAGCCAACAATCAAAAAATATTGTAAATTTGTAAAAAGTTGTTAATAAATATTATTAAGAATATAAACAATATAAAACGTTTAGAGAAAACTTTTAAATTATAAATTACATTAATTTTTTTTATTACTTATATAAGGCTAAAAAGGATTTTATGTTGAACGAAGAAAAATTAGTACTGGGCAAACATTTAAAAAAATTAAAAAGACGCAAAATTTACTATATAATTTTCCTAATAATAAAAAAGAGAAAGTGTTTATAAGATAAAAAATACAAATTATACTTTATAAATTTAAAATCGTTCAATTATCTGAAAACTTAAGAATTATTATATCTTAATAAAAATTATGCCTTAAAGGAAGATAGAAAACTTAAAAGTTATATATTTATTGGAAATTTTATTACACAAAGAAAAAACTTATAATTTTTTCAGAAAAAGAGTGAATTACCAAAAAATTTATTTGTAGCTCTTTAGAGGGAATCCATTTTAAGGAGTATAAATCATGTTCAAATACTTTCTGTGTACCACCCCTTCCTTCTAGTAAAATTTTTTTAATAAACGGATTTAAACATTTACTTGCTGGATTTTGCTTAAATTCTGATTTAAAATTGAGGGAAACCAGAGAGAAATTGTCATATAAATAGAAAGATGAAAAAATAAATAAGACTGTAACCTGTATAACCTTGACCATTAAAAGTCCATAAAATTACGCCGCTTGCACTAAATATAACAAAAAGCTCTAACATTGTGACCACTTTTTCACTATAAAACGGAATGGACTATTTTATATTTATAGAAGGAAATTCTTGTTGACTATGGGCCTTACAGTTAAAAATGACATAGCATTGTTTAAGTCTTATGCCTTTAGAAGCGTTAGAAAAGTAGTAAATATTTGACTTCAGAGACAACGGGCCCGTTGAAAGGAAAAATTAACGGAATAAGAGCCTTAAAATGAGACGAAAAAACCCGAGGGATTAAGGGGTTACATACCGTGTAATTTTTCCTTTTACGTAACAAAATGTCGAGTTGGCTTCTAGTCAATAACAACGAAGCCAGCTACCTTCTACTTAAAACATATTTTCAACAATTGTTAAAAAAAATAAGTTCCCCTGTATAATATAGCATTTTTATAAGAATTGAGGAAGAATTACAAGCCAAGAACTAGTAACTGTTAAATAAAAGGAGACACTAACGTACAAGCTTAACATGCCATGTTACCCTTTTAATGGTACCGTTCTGCTTATGGTTTAGAATTAAACTATATAATTCTCAGTAACGCGGTCATCTAATTTGTCTCCGTAAACAGGGAAGACCCCGGTATCGATGTCTTCATTAAACCTTGCACTGTGAATAAACTCTAAATGTATAACCATAAAGATATATATTTATATAAAGTAATTCATGGAACTGTTAAGTATAGCTGTGGTTAGAAGTCTTGCGAAGGAAAAAATTATTCTAATTTGTTGTACTTAAGGAACTGTCTCGTGCCAAGAGGGATTTACTTAACTTTATTTTGGAATTGATCTAAGAGCTTATTAGTTGTTCCTTTGTAAGACTAATTTTATAAAAAAATTTATATAAACTTTAGGCCTTTACTATCACTAAACATAAGTATACGATTTTGCTTTTTTTCTTATTAATAAAATACATTTTTAGCCCACATATTATCTATTACATAGTAAACATGAAGAGTTTTTATCCAAATTTCTTCCGATATAGGTACTAACTAACGGATTGAAAGGATGGTCAAGACCACAGAAAGCGCTAAAATCGGAGATAAAACGCAGTACGATAGAGATATATTGTTCTACAGAGAGTCAATTAATGAATGACTGTGTGTATATAGAGCCTCAAGAGAGCAGGTTAAAGAGTGAAAAAAACGAAAATTATGTAGGGTCTGTGGGGTGGCTGTTCCAGTTAACCTTTGAGAAGGAGCACCCTATAAGATGTAGGGTCCTTTAAAGAAAACCGTGTTATAAGTTTATCATATTAAAGCTTGTGGAATTTGAGTAATTTGGTTGCTTTTGAATTATTCAGTAGCACAGATTTGGGTGGAACCGAGTGGTAACTGCTTTTAATGAATGAATTTTTAATAAGAAGGGCTTTTAACCAAGACCAATATACAATTCACTCCACAAGTTAGAGAAATATAAAGAGTCTCTTTGTTGTAATAAGGAAACGTTTATTTCAAAAAAAAACAAACAAATCTTTCTGCAAGTTAATTAAGCTAAAGAAAAAGGAGGGTGCTGCATTAAGAACCAAGGAATGTGGTAGTTTATCTCTGATATGTCACATTCTCATACCACGTGTTTGTCTGCTGCTGAAACACGTAACAGTGTGACCTCGCGGGTAATAAAGCCATTAAATGTTGTTCTGAGTGTCTCCCGCAATTGGCAATTTTCCATATTTAAACAAAACTTGGCACAAAACTCAAGCCGCTCCTTTACATTCGAACAATAGACGATATGCATGAAATAAAAAACTGAGAAAGAAATCACAACCGAATTTAGCCAACACAAAAATTAAAACAGACTTTAGAGAGATAGACACGTCTTAATGAGATACATACACTCATATAAACGTTATAATATACATTACTTTTAATTAAACTTAAGTATACAAACACAACCATATCTAAGACAATAATTAAGGAAAGTATGACAAAAAGAAGAAATGAATTTATAAACAAAAGCTTCAATTTTAATTTTATTAATAAAAGTTTATTACTTAGCAAGAAACATTTAAACTACAATTAAAGTAACATGAAGCCCTAAAAAAGCCTAAAAAACAACTTTCAGAGTGGTAAAGAAAAACACATTAAATCATATATCGCTCATATTATATTAGAATTAAGTTGTACACGTAACCACCAAACCAGAAAAATGCGAGCTGTCAACGATAAGAATCGCCAGGCTAACTTGAGATTGCGCGATAACGCTCTCACTACTGAGCTACTGTGACATCTTACATTTCGGTCGTTAAAGTATACAACTTGGTTAAAATACAGTTTTTTAGGTATGCAAACTGGATGCACACAGCCCCCTTACAAGCTGAATTCACATAAAAACAAGAAATAAATAAATGCTACCCCAAATGTAAGATATTATACAAACACAACAGAAGTCAACATTGTTTGTTATTACGATATTAAAACGATATTCGACCTTATCGTATGCCATCAAAAAATGAAACGATTATAAACTAGACAATAAAGTGGAAAAGCTAGCCCAACTAAGCAAAAGTTACAGTATTGTACTCTTCGAAAAAAATTATGAATACATAAACTAAAAGGCCCCAAAAGCAAAGAACACACGTAGTCAAGGTGAAAATTAAATGAAGGGGCAAGAAATTTTTATTGTACTTCATTAGGATATATACTATTGTTGCACCTATAACGACCCTAAAGGAAGTTACTTAAATAGAGCAGAGGCCTTGTGTAACCAGGTATGTGTATATAATTATTCGTAAAATTATATATTTACTTGAATATTTTTTAAGTACTAAATAGACACAAAAAATTCTGAACTAATTAAACCAAAACAAGAACAAGAAAAAGGTAAAAACAGGACAAAGTATGACACTTGACCGTATAGAGAATAAAAGAAACACCCAGCTTTTTTGTAGCTAACCAAGTCTGTATGTGGTAATGTAAAAATAATTAGCGGGCTTGCTCCCGAGGGCAAAGAACTTAGGAATAGAAGGGTCTTCAACCTACTACGTCAAAAATTGGTAGCAATTAATTGTTTCATGATAGTTGTTACCCATGTAATACAATGATTATTGGTTTTATTTAAATCGTCATCTATCGCTGTGTTAAAGCCAATACCTGAGTGTTAGGGTTTCGATTTAAGAATTTTCGAAAACTATAGCTCAGGCTCAAAGCGCCCCCTTAAGTTTAAAGTAGGTTGTATATCCTTAGACAGTTACCGCAGGTACAAAATGATGGTTCGAGAAGTATACCATATTAGTCATTATATAACAACTTTCTCAAAAAATTACAAAAAAAAATAGAGGATTGTTGAAATTTTTTTAACTTTTTAATCCTAGTTATAGTTTTATATATTAGCTCACGAGCGCAAGATGTTACTATTTTAAAATTTCGCTGTCACCGCCAAGTGTAAAGGCTCAACATTGCACTAAATACCATTGCTTTAAAACTTGATCCCTGTGGGCGGTTGTACCTCTTGGTCATGGATTTCATAAAAATGTAGCTGGCTACAATAAATAACGACTATTCTTTTATGACAATTTACTGTTTATGGCCGCAGCGGTCGAAGGCTTCGCCATAAGCACTGAGTAGTTAAGCTAGAGCTCGGTTAAGAAGAGGAATAATTATAGTTAAGTTTGAGGCTTTCTAAGGGTTACTACGTTTTATATCCATTAAATAGAAGATTAAGAAGATTATTAGGTTACGAAAATGTGGAGTCTGAGCTGACCAGTCAGTCATTAGATAGTTTTGTAAATTCTTCCTATTGGTGAAAGTAGACTAAGTCTTGTTAGCAATATATATGGTTTTATGTTTATACAGGTTTTCATAGGTTGTATAACACCTAAGATTTGTGCAGTTACAGGCATTTTATTTGTAATATGATTCAATTTAAGACTTACAAAAGAGACCATTAAGAATCTGCGTATGATTCTTCATTCTACTGTCATACTGGAAACCACAAGTACTTTTATTCTTCCTGCTTTCTTTAGGTTTTCTAAATTTAAATATTGCAAGGAAACAGAAAAGGTTTTATCCATCCCTGTTAAGGCATTCTGTTGTATGCCTTTATATATTTCAGAAGCCAACGAAAAATTAGACTTGAGATCAGATTTTGTCCTATAACTTTACTTTATTTGCTACTTTCATTAAATAATATAGCCCTTTAATTCGCAGAAATTACATACTGCCTTGAGCTTGCAATTTTATGCCAATAACAGAATTTAGGAACTTTGAATTTTAAGTCACAGGCATTATTGTTAGGTCAGAATATTAATGTTTTACTAAACTGCTTTTAAGTTAATATGTAATTTTCTACAAGCAAAGCATTATTTGTCAGCTTCTTACGAGGGGTAATCCACCAGTGCTATTTTCTAATTTTTTTATTACTCTTATGTCGTTATTAGTGTCTTGTTTTATAGTAAGGTTGATATGTCATATTTTTCTTACAGCTAATTTTGCTATTTTAAGATAGACGTTCGCTCTTTCTGTATTTCAAGCTATAAAACTTTATGTCTATAAAAGGGAAGCGTAGAAAATTTACTGTTAGCCTAAGCTATAAACCTTACCTGACTGCACCAAGAAAGAGATATTTGCGATAGTGTTAGAGCTTTAATTTCCCCTTTCTTCTTTTTCTTAAGATGATTATCGCTAGGCATTTTGTGGGGTTTATCATAATTTTCCACTTTTGCAAACCATTTTTCAAATTTATAAAAGAAAACTTGCACATATTTAATAGCTAATGCAGTTGATTTCGAACTACAATTTATGACAGCGTCGTCAGCGTATAGAGCTGGAGAAACTTTGTTGGTAGGGAATGTCACATGTATATAGGAAGAATAATAAAGGTGTTAGTAGGTGCCTTGAGGAAATCCAGCTTTTAGGATCCTGGGGCGGAACAAGTTTTCTCCTATTCATAAAACAATGATCTATTGCAAAGACTTGAATACAGCACGCGCATAAGGTATCCCGGCAACTTGTATGCAATTAATTTATAAATAAGCCTTTCATGCCAGAATCTATCAAAAGCTTTTTCTAGATCTAAGAATCCCATAACTATTGGGTTTCTTGTAATTAAAGGCTTTTGTATAGTCCTCTACGATCCTTAAAATTCGCTGTGGCCAAATTGGTGTGGAGGGGACAAGATTTATAGAATCTGCCAGTTTTTAAATCTGAGTATTATGAATTCAGCAACTTTGCCAAAGCAGTAAAGTAAACTAAGTGGCCGATAATCTTTATTAGTATAGTTGCTAGTATGGTTACTTTCTGGTATAAATGTAACTTCTAATTGTTTCCATTTATAGGAAACTAACCCTGATAAAAAATAGATTTAATTAGTTTTAAAAGGTACACAACGGCCACTGGAGGAAGATTTTTTAGCATTCGATTTTATACACCATCTGGGCCCTACCTTTATTAATTTTAATATCAGTTTCATTTTTAACCTCCTTTTCATTCGTATACACCTGAAAGCCTATAGGTGATGCGTTTTTGCGGCACAAATATTCATTTTTATTAAAGTTAGTGGAGGCTTGCGCTATGGGGACAAGCTCTCTGCGAATATGTTGGCCTTTTCTTATTGGAATAAGCAATTTCTCCTTTATCCTTTAAAGGTTGTATATCAATCATTATTTTTTGAGTTTTAAGAGATTTAATCATTTTCCATATAGAGTTATCGGATGAATTTAATACTCGTAGCTTCATATCCTAAAGGTTTATTAGAAAAAGCATTTAATTCGCGTTTACCTCCGCATTACTTTGTTAAAAGCTAACTTGTCACGTGGGGCTCGTCTTTCCTACATATTCTTTTCATCTTCCACATTTATTAAAAATCCTTTATGGTGAGAGGGAAGGATATATTATTTACAATTTTCTAAGTTGTCACTGGGTAATTTAACTTCTCTTCCAAAGAAGAGAGAGCAGCATCAATTTCAGACAGACAGGAAGGAATCGGATAGAGCGGTAAGTTGTTAACCACTGTGTTCTTAAAAAGATTCCAGTTGGCTACCCTAGGCTCCTTTCTGTGTTTGCCCAACTTAAATCTCCTACCAGCAATAACACCAGGTCATAAGCCGACGATAACTTATGAGGGTTAGTAAGGTGCACAGGAACAGAAATGTTCATTAATAAGCTGTGTCTAACACCTCAACGGAGCCTCCAGTTAAGCGGTGTGTGGGTTCAAAAGGGGTTAAAACAAAAATTTTATCATCTTCCGCCCAAAGTTCTAAAATTATGACTATGGATTTTCCTTTCTCTGCTTTATAATGCTATATAAGGATTGGTATTTTAAATAATTTCCTGCTCTTGCCATGTGGACGTTTACGTTTTAACCCGGGTGGAAAATTTAATAAAAATCACTTGAGTTGTCTACATAAGTTAGATTCTATGGATAACTTTTTCAGGATTGGAAAATTCGCCTGTAATTATAAAGACTTAACCCTCGCAGTTAAGGGCAGAGACAGAAAATAAGGCATTTCCTCTAACTACTTTCGTGGTATTACTACTATAAAAGTTATCCTATAATATTTATATTGTTATATAGTTAATACTGTATTTTATTAAAAAAAGAAGATCCACCCTTATTATTAAATTTTTGGTGAAACATTGTGAAATGCACGACCTTCCTTTTCGTTTAAAAGGTGAAGTTGTGAAGGGATTCGGAAGAGGTGGAAAGGAGTTAGGGATTCCCACTGGTACTCATAAACATCATAACTCTAATATATAAGTAAGAAAGCCGTATAACTATTTCCACTTGCCCGTTTGTGATAAATATTAATGGTCAATTTTATTGGTTATTTGACACTGTTATGTTATATTACCGGTACACCCGGTTAACTTGCTTTTAAATTTTTTAAATTTTGTTACTTTATAATATATTTACTACTCTACATCTACTAAAGTCCTAAACTGTCTATCGCAATTGCTATCCTTTATTTGCTTTCTTAATAAGTAACAGTTCATTTTTAAACTTTTATATACTATAAAACTAATTATTTGAACACTTGAACGGTAAGCTAACTTTTCGGACTACGTGGTTGACAATTGTTTACCGAAGTCCATTCAACAGGGGATATACTTCGGTTGGGCCTCGTTAAATGGAAAGAGACCGCCTTTAAAGATGGTCACAAGCGTAGGATGGAATCCTTTTTATCAAAACACAAAAAGATCCATAGTAATCACAAGTACATTTACTTAAAATTATGAAAGAAAGTTAGTTTACTTTTGCCTTTTGGTTTTATTAGATTTTCTTAGTGTTCGAACTAATTTATTTTTACAAATGGTGAGACTTTACTATTATTGCATTTCAAAAAAACTCGCATCAGACAGTTTTTTAAGCGAATAAAAGCGACATTGCTATAATGTGTACACATATAAGAAATATTTAATTTTATATTACTTCGAGTTTTTTTTTTTAAGAAATATTGTTTTTAGTTTTTCTAAAGATTTGAACTTTTTCTGTCTAGTCTTTATAAATGCTGTAACTAAATCTTTGCTTTAATATTAAAAAATTTAAAAGTAAATGAAACTGTATAAAGTTTATGGAGGCTAGTAAACTTAAACTTGTATTATAATAGGAAACACATATTTTGCAGCACTTCGAGGAAGACTTTTACGGAGAGGAATTACGAATTGTTTGTGTCGGCTACATTCGCGATGAGGCCGACTTTGAGTCTGTTGGTACCATAAATGTTAAAAAAAGAATTTTTTATTAACTTAAATATATCTTTTTACAGGTTCACGAGATTTTGTATATTAATTTTATTAATAGTTATTTTCTTGCTTTTATAGCGTGTTATTCCAAGTTACTAAACCCATACTGCCGACCAAAATAACTGACTCTTATTTAAAGAAGAGTTAATCGGAGCCATACAGAAAGACATTGAAGTCAGTAGGAAAGCTCTTGAGGAAAACTTTTCACACTTTAAAGAAGACAATTTTTTATTTGACGAGGGTGACACGAGTAGGAACTAATAACTCACAAAGCAATCTTAATAGCAAAGTTTATTGTTTTTCTGAGTGAACTTACTAAATTTTAGCTCCTCTATACTTAAACTATCTTATTCCATTCTCAATAAAGTTTAACTTTACCGACCTATATGGTAGCGCAAAATTTGTTTTTTTTTTTTGTTTTAGTTTTAAACAAATTGAGTTGTGCAAACTATAAGCAGTATTGACGACAGAACTTACAAAGAAAGGCTTTTGGATAGCTATATACCGCAAATAACAAGATCGCCTAGCTAAGTAGCAAAGATAAAAACTTATTTATTTGTTACTACTATTATTTTTAAAAATCCTTATAAGGTAGCCTTCTATATATATTTAAGTTTGAAAACCGTTAAAAGGGCGCCACTTAATAATACCAATAGTGGAGTTTACTGTTCATCAGCCAAAGCTGTTACTACCCGCAAAGAGCATTTTACAATTGTACAAACGTGCATGCTTAAGTAAATAACATTTATTATAACTACTTCCAGAGAGCAGCTTTTTCTTTAAGGCGATTCCTGCCAAGCTCTCGCTGGCGCCGTTCCTCGTTGACCTGCTCGCGATTAAGCTCTTCAAGACGTCTTTTCTCTTCTTCCAAAAGGCGTAAGTTATGCTAAATCATAGTATTAAAGACAAAGAAAAATTTTATACTAGATAAATCATATGATAAATTTCTATTGTAACGAAGGAAGACCCCCTATAGACTGAAAAATCCTACTTAATACTAGGATTTGTTTTTCATCGAGCCCACTGTTTACTAATTACTGGGCTTAGGAGGATGAACTGCATCTGTTAATTATGCCTCGTCCTACTATTAAAACCCATAACTAAAATAAAATTCGAATTTTCATGAACAAATCTCTATGCTTACCATTAATACCATTTATTGTACTTTTTCGTTGTGTCCTGTTTATGTGTAAAACTTTTTATATTAGTTGAGTAAATAATATATAAGCGAAAATAATACTATAATAAAGCCCTATACGCGAAAGTACTACCTGGCGACCCAAGGGTCACTACTGACGCATTATCAACTTGACTAAAACTTTTAGGCATGATTGCACGGTACGCTTAATATGTATTTTTTAATTCCAAAAACACTTCCATTAAGATATAAAAAGTTTTAGAAAGAAAAACGGATGTATATAACAAAACAAAGGTTAAATTGCATGACAAAGAATATGAACTTAGTGAATAGCAATGTCTGGTAAAATTAATGCTCGTCACGAGCATATTTTCGGAGCGTCACGACTATTGTATTTTGTGCTCATCCAATTGCTCTTAAAGCATTTTTTCCTTTTTTTTAAGTCTTCTCAACATTAAGGTGAATTTTAAGTAGTTTTAAATACCCAAATTCAGTGAAATAATGTTCATAATACTTTTATATATTTATATTTCATGTCTTAATTCTGTTAAGCAATAAATTTTCTCAAACCTACTCTTTTCTTGTAATGAGAAATATTGATAAGATATTTTAAAAAACAAAAAAATATGTAATAATAAGTTATCTTATTTTATAATACATATTTTCCTTCACAATGCGTTTGAATAAGCATAATATCCAATTTACACAGTATATTTATGTAGACTTTAATTATTTACTCATTAAAAACGGTATATTATAAAAAAAATTCAAAAAAAAAAATTGAAGTACGATAATGTTTCTGTGAAAACATTTCTTTTAAACAATACAGTTTTAACATAATGAAAATTATGATAAACAATAAGCGTTGCTAATATAATAAGGAACCTCTTCAGGGCTTAACAATGCCCGCTTAGCCGCTAAACGGGCGTGAATAGCAGACATTTCCTCAGTAACCTCCTTAGCTGGGTCGCCCATTTCCAACTGTCTCAGTTCTACTCGTGCTCTCGGCGCTGAATAAAATATGATACAAATCAGATTATTTGTTAAAAGATAATGGATGTACAAAATCTATAAAATATATAGCAAAGGGCTTCTGTTTTTTACTAATATAAAAAGTTTATACACTGCATGTAATGATACATACACAGGCCAGTAACACTCTATAACCAATAACAACTGCATTGGTATTCTACTCAAAAGCGATGGCTCGCTACATGTACACTTCTAAGCTGCAAATATATATATATTTTACAAAAAGCGATGGAGGTCGTAAAAAATTGTGAAGTAAACAATCAAAAAAATATAAAGAACAAAAGTAAAACAATGTAAAAGAGAAAGTCAAATAACTAATGTGCTCTGAAAATATTTTATAAAGATATAATTTTAAAAAGGGTGTAAAAGGAATTTTGTTAAGAAACTTGACTAATAATAATATAATGAATTATAATAATGTAAATTCTTGCTTGATTAATATTTCGAATAAAGTTAGTCAAAAATTAAAAAGGCCTTTAAAAGTGTTAACGATATTAATACTTTACAAACAAATATTTTGTATGTTTCTATGCTAGTATTTTACAAATAATATGTAACAATGTAATACACGTATATATGGCCAAAAAGAAATTTAGATAAATATAATATTGTAAAATATAAAATCTGCTTATTTAATTTTACAATCTTTTCCTCCCTTGGCAACGATTTCGCGCAGTTCCTTTATACGATTTTCCTTGGCTGCCTTAGCTTCCATCACTCCTTTGTATTGTTCTTTTTTTTTTTTAGTTATAAATATTAAAAGGTCAAGAAAATCTTTATTAATAGAAAATTTAATATATCTAGAAAATAGTTGATATATAAACAAAAAATTTTGTCGCTATTAATATAAATTTAAAAAACAAACTGGTTAATGAAAAGTAGAATAATATCAAGAAAAATTAAAAAAGATTGAAATAAACTTTTAAAAACTTGGAAATTAAATAAAAATTTTCAGTTTTTTTAAAATCCCTTTAAAATTTAATATAATAATTTAAAGCTTAACATTGTGATCAGAATAGCATATTTACTAACTACAAGATAAACATAACTAAAGTGTATATATTGAAACTAATATGCTCAAGTTTCTTATTTATTCTATATACTTATCTTTATATTTATCTACAAAACAGGAGGAAAGTAGTACCAACAGCAGCCTCTAGTTTAGCCACCAATTCGCTATTCGGTTTATTTTCAAAAAGTTCAGCCGCAGATTTATTATACTTGAAAAGAAGATATTCAATAAAAGACAATCGAGTTTTGGGCTCGATGTTAATATTATGAAGAGTGTTTCTGGTATAAAACTTAAAAGTTGGTATATACATATATAAGGCAGTAACAAAAAAAACTAAATTAACGGGTGATACTTTCATTAACTACTTTAAAGGAATTATGTAGTTAACAGTCTTAAGAGTAATAAGGCTTGTATTTTTATTAGAAATAAGCAAAATGTTTATAACTTATAAAGATTAAAAAATGTGACAAAACTTTAAGAACAATAGAAAATTGACAATGAATAAATATCTTTAATAAAATATGCAAAAGCATATATATAAGAGCAAATATAAACCTCAGATCCTTCACTGTTAACGTTTCTCCTCTCTTCTCTAAAAATCGGTGGGCATCGAACTGCTCCAAATCGTTATAAGCTTTAAGTTACATATATACAAAGAATATAATCTAAAATAAAAAATATAACTGAAAAGTCAAAAATATTACTAGGTTTTAGCCAAGCTTTAAAATTTTCACTTAGATCTATTACCTCTTTAAATTTACCACTAAATTCAGCCGCAAAAGAGGATAAAAACGTCATTGCTACAATAAATAAGATAATAATGTGATGTTAAAGGATTAGCCAACGTAACCTTGTTGGTCAACATTTTGATTGGAAGTAATCGACCTAAATTCTTCAGTGTAATCAAGATTCGACATAAAGAAGTATTTCCTAACAATAATTTTTTGTTATTGTTAATATTAAAATATAAGGAAACGAAAGAATCGCAGTATTAGTAAAGAAACCAACACGTAAAAAAACGAAAATTGCTGCTTTAAAGGGCGCCCCTATAAACGTGCCTTTTGCATGTGGTTAACCTAATTTCCCTCCAATTTTGTTTACTATGGAAAAAATCAGAAATATAAGCGTAACCGTTAAGGATTTGATACATTATTTAACAGTTGAGCTTTGAACTTAGAAAACTTTATAATTCATAGTTTATAATAATTTATTTTTTTTAAAAAGTACTAAGTTACTTAGGTAAATAGAGCTAAATGTTAGTTGCTTAGTTGATTTGCACCAATTAAACTATTGTTTGCTCCTTTTTTTTGTCACATTCGTAGTTAGTAAGTGTATATTATCAAAATTTTGTAGAAAATGTATCTTAAAAAATATATTGAATGTAAGAGTTAATTAAATATATTTATTATAATATGTATAAGTAAGTAAAATAATATAACGCATAAAATTATAAATACAAAAAAAATAGAACGAGAGCAAGCAAGGAATAGTTTTATGGGCCAGTTTCTGGTCTATACCTTTACAAAAGGTCAAAAAATGCTTCAATATTTGTATAGTAAATATAATTGTCCCAGATTTGTTTTTATAAAATAGTACTTTGTTTAGTTTGTATCTAACTAAGAAAGTTGGTCAAAGTAGTTTGTGAGTGGAAATTTTCCCATTTCTTGTATTTTTATTGACTTTTTCTCAGATGATTGGGTTATTCACGGACAATTTTTCCTGCGAAATTTAGGGGTTTTGTGTTTAGTTTTCTGTAGTGTGTTTAAAGTTTTAAATGTTCATGTATACTGTGATATTTAGTATTTTTTTTGTTAAACTCGAGTTGCGGCTGGACGCTAGGTACATCTTATCTGAAAAAATTTTTTACTTTAATGCCTTTTAAAGATATTAGACTTCTCGAGCAAAGACTTTTTAGCTCAACTACTTTTACAAGGTGATTATAATTCATGGATCTCCAGTGTGCAATGTATCTTTAGGCTATGAATTCGCTCAGAACGCATTGCAATGGGCTAGTGGTATTGCTTGCTTTTTTAAGGCATATTCGTGATTTTTGTGCTCAGTGGTGGTTCAGATGTTTCACAAAAAGTTCTGCTGCTCTTTGAAGAGCTTCCTTGAGTTGAGCGATATATATTAAAGTTTTCGTAAATTGGGTCGTCGTGCATATAATACGGCGCATATGCTAATAAAGTGATCACTACCCAGCCCGCGGTTAAAGAATTGATGCTATCTTAGTAAATAATCTTAGTAAACACAAGCTACTACAAATTTTAGCATCATAAAACGCACATGAAGAAAATTACAAATACTTCGCATCATTAGGTACAAATAATATATTTAAGATTGATCTTTAATACACTATTTATATATATATATATATCTATTTTAATAAATAAAAAAGCTTGTGTTGGGTACTTTATGAAAAAAGAAATGAGCACTGCCAAGAATGAATAACATCCATTAATATATTTGCGCAGCAAACGCCACCTCAAAAATAAGCTGTTATTTACAAATTCATATTAGTGCTGTTGTGGTGTATGCTATCGTTTGTGGGTCCTAATTTGAGTTTGATGCAAGTAGGCTGCAAGTTTCTTAAGACAAATCCTAGGATGATACTGATAAATTACATGCCTACAACATTTGCCAAAGCACGTGTCCTTTGTGGTTCTTGTCTCGCAATTTGAATTAATTTTTTAAGGTACAAATATCCTTCCTCTACGGGTCAATACATTGATCGCCCCTCCTTTTTTACTTTTTAAAATTACGAATACACCGTGGTTCTTAAGATGCTCAGTTGCATTATGGTCGGAAATGGTGACATCTAAGGCTTTGTTTTTAAAAATTGCATGCTATATAAAATACAGTGAACATCATAGTTTATTAGCTGCTGCTGTTTGTAATGTTCAAGGCTGGTACAAGTGATAAAAGAGCCAGACAACTTAAAGGTCGCTTCTTTGTTGACTACTAATTTATAGTTGATATATATCGGAGAAAGATAGGAGGCTCAATCCATATTGTACCGTAGAGGAAGGGTATTATGTCTTCAAAATACAAAATACATAAAAAGTGGGGCAAACGTAGAAGCACGTGGTATCGGCATGTAGTACATTAACATATGCATGTTCCACGTGGTATGAGCCCATAATTCGGAGAGTAACTCCAACAATGTTTGGATGTACTTTACACTTTACACTTTTCACAATGATATGTTAATTTATGTTTGATAGTATTTATTGTTCATTTTAACATACTAAAACCAAAATAGTAATTTACAATATTTTAGTTAATAACATATGGGTATGTAGCGTACATTTAATATCTTTATATATTATATTATTATATAATTATTAATTTATATACTTAACTTAATTACTTTATTTAATTAGTTTAAATTGTGCTTATTTTTAGTTTAAAAAATTCAAGTTTAGCAGTTAGAGACTAAGAAACTTTTTAAGAAAACTAAGCAAGCACACACAAATATTGGTAAGAAGAAAAAATGTGGTTGTTTATTAAAACAAATAAGCTTAATCAAAGTACAAAAGTAAACAATAATATAGTAATAGAACAAAGAGCGCAAAGTGGTTTAGACCTCTTAGCTAAATGACCATAGTAATAATCAGTAGAACCCTTTTTGCGACTTTAATTTTTTTTTAATGTATAATTATTTGTTGTTTTCTATTTTCTTCGAATAATTTGCTTTAAAGCTAGAAAGCAAACTGTGAAAAACACTACTCTTAAAAAGGAATTGATTCCTCTCTTTACTTCTCTATTGATTAGGAATAAGCAGTTAAGATTTGATGTGCATGGGGGCTGTAGTATGTCACGAATGAATAAATAAATAAATGAAGAAAACAAAGAGGTTTTTTGTCCTCTGCTTAAGTTCCTTTGATATCTTTATCCAGTTTTGGGCCCCTGTTTTAGGTTTGGATTCAATGTATTGTAAAATGCATCGAGCACATATGTAAGACCCGCGTTGTCCCTCCTGGGTTAAGCTCTCTACCGCACTCTATTTAGGTCACGTGATTAGTTTCCATTTTCGGTCAGTCATGTAGAAGAGTATGCACGCATGAGGAGAAAACAAGTGGCGTTTATTTTCATGGTTTGGGTGTCCCTTTTTTGCTACAGGGTTTTGTTCTGGTCTGTTATTATCATATGATCTGTTCTTTTCTAGTGATCGGTTGTTCTGTTGTGTTTTATTGGTCTGTCTATCTTGTTGTTCTTCTATACTGTTTATCCCTTTTATTGTCTCATGTAATAAAGTTGTAGACGTTCCTCATTTATTAAATATTATTGACAACTCGGAAAGTCAACTTCAATAAATCCACGGATTACGACTTTATCGAAATTAAAAGTCTTTTTATTAAAAAATTAGAGGTTATAAATATAAAATACGCACAAGAACGCTAATAAGGCAACAAAAGAAGGAAAAATGAAGAAAAAAAGTAAAGAAATATTTATTCGAGAAGTATTTGCTTTAATTATATATATAATAAGGCCAGCATTTGCTTGAATTCCTTTACATCATAAGTAACAGGAAAAAGTTCATTTATAGTCATGCTCAACGCCCAGCCATCTTCATTAGAAGTGACGTTACTTTTGGGTGCGTTACATAATGTTATCACCTTAGTAATTAATTGTTTATAAATAGTAGTTGTTAGCTTGTTTTCCCGTGTGTTAGACTCCCACTACATCAAAAAGCGGACGCCCACCTTAAGGTGCACGAAAACCTTTAATAAGACATCGGGTTCTAATTCCGTGCTTCTTTTGTTCAAGAGGAAGAAGTCCTTACAGATACTTGTAAAGAGAAGGAAAAAAGTATAATTATTTACAACGTTACTTCACGAATTATTATACTAAGATTTCTGGAGCCCTGCTGATAACGTTTGAATGAGAACTTTCTTCGGATACCGTGACAGATAAACAGAAACTATATTAAAAGAAAACACTAATAACTTAGAAAATTCTAAAAAGTTAAATTTTTCCGCCAGTAGGAGTGGGCATCCACTGTTCGACGTTCAAATATAACCTCTTTAGGTAGGAATATACTATATTTAGGAATTTTTATAGACGGAGGTGAAAGATAAAAAAAAAATTAAGTTTTAAAGTAACTATCCCACATTTAAACAAATAGGTATATGGGAAGTCACGTGTCTTTTATAACAGAGAACAGAGAATATACTCAGCCAAACAGAAAAGCCGAAAAATTACCCATAAACGTATAAATTATTTATTTGGTTAAAAACTAATACTGAGAATGGTGCGTTGCGTTAAGAATATTAATTATGAAATATTTTATAGCCTAAGAACCACTGTATAAAGTTTCACTATTGAACTTATCAAAGGGGTTAATTAAAGACCAACAGAACATTATAATACCATTTGGGAGATTAAGATTGGGTCTTTGCGTTCATTATTATTAAATTACTTAAAAACATTTAAAACCAATTCACAATAAGATAAGAAAAACGAACTCGTTTTATATTTACAAGCGGCCATTAATTTATTATAACCGAAAGGGAGAACGAGAAGAAGATGACCTATATAACTGAACGCTTAGTTTCAAAAAAAACATGTTTTTACTGCGGGCAGCTGTGGCTGGAGTTCCTATCTAACTTCAAAATAGGATGGAAGGGTAAAACGTCCTTGGCTTGACGTATATATGCTTTTCCAGATGGCAGAAAGTAGCTAAAATTTTTATCTACACGTTTTTTCTCCTCTTAACATGAGCTCCTATCAGTTTATTGTACTACTTTGAGAAGTATTAAAAACTGTATTTACAAGACATGATAAGATTATCAAACTCCACCTACTTACTACAAGCAGAACAGAATGGTTCTCGAAAAAGGAGATCTTACTGCCATTAAGGTAGGGCTCGCCTGTTCGAAGGACTTTTAACGTTTGGCATGTGGACCTTTTTAGTTATTCCTTAGAAAACTAAAAATTCTTAGTTAAATAAGGTGACGCCTCATCCGTTATTTTCATTTAGGAAACTTTCTCCATTAACGCTTTTTACCTTATGATACACTTATTTATGTATAGCTACACTATTATAGTATTATTTTCGGAAGAAATCGAAAAAATTTTTTATTTTGTTCCTCTCTCAAGGAAGTAGCAGGTCGGTATCAAAAATGGAACTTATAATTAATGTGATCAAAACAAAAAATTAATTAATGCGTAAGCGAAGGTGGACACCCAGCAAATGCCGAAGTCCATGCTTTTCAGATACTATGTAATTAAGAGTCATACTTCTAATAAACAGATAGCTTATTCTATTAAAAAAAAGCTGAGACTTCACTCTACACCTGTTTAAACCGGAAAGGTGAATTTAATTAAGAACAGGTTTTGGTATATCTAACAATCCATTTACTCAATCTTAACAATTCCTCTCCTGTGCTGGTGACCGTTTTTTTCGCAGTTCATTAGAAAAACTGCGTTACCAAATATTCTTTTCTACCAATGTTTACAAAAGCTTCTTCTTTGATAACAATGCTAGACTAAACAGAAAGCTTAAAGTTTATACCATCAAAGAATTTACAAGGATCTAGCGAACATTCTTGCAAAAAAAGGCAATTAAAAACCCTTTAGTCAAACCGTCAATTTCTTTAGCTCCTTCTGACTTTACTGACTAGTTAGGCCTAAAGCTGTCCTAACATATTTAAAAGACTAAGGCAAATTAATTTTTATATCCATACGGCTGTGTACTAAGTAAAGACGCTATAGTTTTTGCGTTTTCTTATAGAGATGAAAATAAAAATATATTTTACCTGCTTAATTTGGTTTTAACTATAGTCAAACCTAACAATAAATCTTTATTTGGGGTTTTTCCCGAGCTACTTAAATAAATGGCTCGTCACACACTTGGTGTTTATCGCAATCCTTGTGTGTTTGTTCTTTGTTAATGTCCCTAAAAATCTTATTGCGTGGTATCGGTGATATTTTACATCTTCTTTTGAACACACTGAAAAAAATGCTTAAAACTAATTATTGTCATGCTACTATCCTTGCTAGTAATACCGATGTCGTTCTAACTTCCAATTCAGATTTTTCAGGAACACTAATTTTGATTAGGGAACTAAATATTTGGCAACAAGGGACTATATCAGTCTCGCTTATACTTTTAAAAATTAAATAATATTTCTTAATGAAAGTAGTTTTTTTTTATCCGCCTTAGAATTTCTCTGCAAGCCCAAGAGCAGACAAAGGAATGATCAATCTTTACATCTGGAACTGCAGTTTGTTTAATTTTCCTTGTTTATAACTAAAATTTTTTTCTTTCATGTTTCCATCATAATTATTTTTAATCCCTTAATTTATTTCAAGGTGTCCCAGGCTTGAGAGGGACGTTATTTGAAAATGTTAATATTCCGTTTGTACTCTTTTTCCCCGCCACTTATCCCAAGAAACCTCCTTGTTGTTAGTCACTGTTATTTGATGTTTCATGGCCATAATAGTTATTTTAGAAGTTGTTTCTTCTCGTAATAGATATTAAAAACAAGTATTACTTATTACTTACAATTTTTAGGTTTTCTTGAACCCCCTTTTATTACACATTTAAATGTCTTTTCCTCGGGTTTACTTTTACTAGACCTTTTTAGCGACTTCTGGGATCCTACTACTTCGTTATATGAAGTAAAACATTATCTTTTAATACATAATTACTAGAACTTATATAATTAAGTCAGTTATTATGATAGTTTCTTATAACAACTGTGATGCTTATAAAAAAGCTTAAACTGATATTTCTCTACATTTACCAGATATTGTTACAAGTTCAAACTGTACTACACACTCCTAATGAAAGATCCGTAGCCTCTGCTGAAGCCTATGCTCTTTATAGGTTAGAAAATTGTATAATTAGTTTTAGTTCAAAAATTTGTTCTATTATGCTAAAAGTTGTATAAACTTTTTTTAAAACCGTCAAGACTGTTTGGAGCTTGATGAGCAGTTAATGCAACTTTCACTTTTTAGTTAAAATGTATTATATAGATATGAGCACACTTGAAAAGTTAATTTTAAATTCAACGCCTTTTTTTCTTACTAAATTGGTATATTTAATTTTATAAGCGTCGAGAAATTAGTATAGGCCGATACTGGCAGCGAACTACATTTAGGTTTGAAAAGCTCTAAAAAACTGTCCAGAGCCGGTAATTTTTTACTAAAAAATTTGAGTACTCTCGCTGTACTTAAATTCAAGACTGGCGCGTTAATTTAGACTTCTGTTCAGAAAAGCCATCAATTTTTAAATACGGACGTATTTACAAGTTACTTGCTTTAATTAATAAATCTTATAGATATGAGCCCGAATTGTACAAAAAGCTATTAGATGCACAAATCCAGGAGTTTTATAGTAAACAGAAACCGGAGTAGACTATTGCAACTATTTTGATTTATATAACGTAAAAAATAAAGATTTAATAATTCTTTAATTTTTTTTGGTTTATGTGTAGCCTCATGGATGATTGAAGTAGAATTATTTATAGCAGTTCAGTACACTAAAAAAATTGTTATTTATGTAACTCAGAAGAGTTAAATTATAAATTATTGCAATCGACTTTCTACTGCTGTATATCTGGCTAACCCCCTTCAAGGAACTTCCGGGATGTTTGAATACTACTTATACTTATTTTTAAATAGCTTTTATTAGTCTGAAGATACAAGAGAAATTTTAATTGAAAAAACTTTATTAGTTCCAAGATGTACTTTGACAATTTAAGTAATTTTTTTCAAGACCGCTTTAAATGCAAATGGCTGAAATCTACAAAGAAGTTCTGTGCCTCATAAAGGCGAAAAAAAAACTTAGTTTATAGATCTTTACTTTGTCTATATAGCACAAGGTCCACTTAATGTTAATAACTTTATTTAGGAGCTAAAGCATTTTTTCCAAGCGTTTAAGATCTCGAACCGCCATGTCCTTATCAACTTTATCAGACAAGTGATAAAAATATAATTTATACATTCCCTTTAAGTTTTTTTTAAATATTGAAATACCCCCAATACTGTGTTCATAACACTCCGAAGACTTCGAATTTTTTAAAGCTTTTTCTGAAAGAACTTTTTCAATAATAAACAGTTCAACGTTAAAGTTATTTAAGGCTTCTTGATTGCCACTAACTTCTGTAAGGGTTATATATTGAATAATTTCTCTAAGTTTCTCAGCGTTTCCTAGGTTATGCAACAACTTTTTAACAAGTATAATTTTTTGACTACATTGGAAAACTAATTGTGCAGGACTTATTCTGTAGTCAGTACTGTTAACTACATGAATATTTGGTAAAAGGCAAAGTTGTTGAAGATCCAGAAAATTTTCCTCTTGAAAGCGAAGGGTTGAGGCAAAGTCCACTTTTACTTTTGCAAAATTGGTTAAGTCTTCAACAAAACCAACTTTACTAAAAAATTTTAACGGAATTTTTTCCAGTTGAGATAACTGGTAAGCCCCTTTACAATCGGAGACTAACGTTGTTGGCTCGAAACAACCCACATATACGCAACTAATATAATTTTTAATTTTTGTAAGCCAAAAAGTACAAGTTTGTTTGTCTGACAGACGAAAACTGCAGGGTTCCATAGTTACGTAGACATCGTAAAGTATTTCCTTATTTCTCAGTTTAGTTATTAAAGTTTTTTTTTGACTTTCAGAAAATCTGTGGGTAACAAATTCAAGCTTAGTAGGAAACTCACTTACCTTTTTCTTTGTGAACTCGGTTTTACAAATTTCGGGTTCATATACTACAGAAGGTATCTCTACTTCTTCAGATAACTTAAAAAATGATACAAATTTCATTATAGCGCATTCTTCTGCGTGAGTGTTCCCTTCCAATTCACGACTGTAACCGTAGAATATGGGTAATACCTCCCGATTTAAATTTTCAAGAAAATTTTTATCCCTGTACTGAACAACCGGCCTAAAGATGCAGCCAACGCAGTAAGCATCTTTTACTACGCTACTTTTCCAACTTAATTTAATAGCCTTATACATAAATGACCAATTCTCGTCATTCATTGTACCTATAAGAAACGTCAGCAATAATATATAACCTGTTACGTTACCGAAGCCAAATAGTATATAAGAAAGGAGTCTCCTATAGGTTTTATATTAACTTAAATTTTAGCTTTTCATAATCATTTATTATTTTAAGATAGGTTTTAACTCTTGGTTATGGAAAGTGTAAATGTTTCCTTTTGCGTCAAAACATGCAAAAGAAAGGGCATTATTAGTCATTAAAGCACACCTGCTGACCGCTATCTCATGGTTGTATCGTTATGACTACCTAAATTCCTTCAACGCTGTTTGTCTTTTCACGAACTCATTGCTGGCAGTAAACTTGATAGAGTTACCTTTATCGAACAACTTTGCTTAAGGATTTTAAGTCTACAGCTTAAACTGTTTAGTGTAATTGTAATAGAGTAAAGGCAGAACTCTTTTGTTTTACTAGGAAACCTTAGCGGTTCCATATTTTTTCTCAGGGGAAAGCGAATTTGTGTTTGACCGTTGCGTGGATGGCACAATCTTGTTAATATAATTGATAATCATTTGATTCTCACAGAGTAATCTTAATAAACCATTTGAGTCTTCAATTAAGATTATTTCATGCCTATAAATTGCATATTACCCAGATTTCTGCTTACTACAGTGATCCTCAAGGGTCATCGATAAACCCCTTGATTTTCCTCACTCTACATTTATCCTTTGTTATAAGCAATAGAAAACCTTTCAAACCCACAAGTAAGTTATATAACTACTTATAACTAATAAGGACTTGTTAAAAAAACCAGTAGCATAGTGTGGGTGGGTAATATCACCCTGTGACTATCTAGCGTAGACTTCTGAATCCTGACAGAGCCATGACAATAGCTTTCCTTTCAGAAAACTATCTAATCGGAAGCTAATTGATTCAAATGATATAGAATGTTTATTCTATGAGCCACCTAGAGACAAGGATTTAAAAGTAGATGTAAGATGAGGTACGCGGTAAAACTAGTTGGGTACGTTCTTGACGAAGACCAAGAAGTGAAACTTAGTTGAAGTGATGAGAACGAAAAGGGATCATAACGTAAGAAAATTTCTTATTCTGTCCCAACTATCTAAGTCGACAAAAAATTATACTTTACTCAAGTAGAAAATCTGTGAAAAGGTCAAATCTTTAAAACAAAAACCCTTTATCAGCAATTTCTGTCACTGCTTTCGTATGTAAATACTCAACAAATTATATTTGAAAAAATCAACGCATTATCTGAGACGAAAAACCGTTTTTTTAGTAGTGTCATCAGCCCAAATTAAATTGTGTGAGTGCAAGTTGCAAAGGAATACATAGAGCAAACTTTAGGCATTAAACGAAGCCTTTACAAATGAAGTTTAGGCATAATTGTAAAGTTTACAAGTCAAAAGCACATTCCAGGTTTTATTTAAGATTAATTACTAAATAAGTCCTGTCGCGAAGGGTGTAACCTTTAATGAATCGTTACAACGTCTTTCTCTATAAACAAAATGAACTCTTCTGGTTTGGAACGCTCTTGGAATTTATCACAGGGCTTTTTAACCATTGAATACACAAGTATAGCACTTTTTTTGCAGCTGATGTTGTCGAGCTTGTATTTTAATAAAATTAAAATGCAACAGCGGAATTAAAAAATTTCACTAAAAAAAATTCTTTTGTGATAATTTTATAAATTTTTAAAATAAACGGTTCATTAAATTCTCTTCTAAGTTGCTAGTCTATGGATTAATGATATTTAAAAAAACATGGGATTGCTTTTTTATATTTAGTTAATAACATAAATCTCTATGCTATTAACAATATATACACACAATAAACACTCATTAACGGGGATGTCGCCGTTTTCGGATGTGGCCTGTGCTTATTTCTTATCCTGAATTTATGATAAATTTTTACCCCCCCCGGACTGGTGACCAAGTTATTTGCTAACATCTAAGAACCAACAAAAAAAGTAGATTTTGCCAATAAAAGTTTTCCCAACTTGTAAATAAAATAAGCAACTCCGGGTTCAATGCTTCAAAAAAGCGAAAGGGCGGTTTTTTGGCTCTAAAAATTCTAATTCTAATAATTTTCAGCGTTCATGCTCGTAGATGAAGTCGTCGAAGTTGCTACTCATTGATAACAAAAATGATATTATTACTAATATTAATATATATAAAAAAAATATTGGTTGTAATGAAAAATATCTAACAGTAACTATAGTATTAGGTGTAATACTATTAACAATGAGGACCATGGTAATAGTAATAACAGTTATACACCTAATACTACGAGCAGTAACAGTAGTGGTAACACTTCTAAAAGTTAACTTAAAGCCCCACTAGCGACAATACTAGTAGCGCATCCCCAGAAATAAACCTTTTCCCCTCTTATACGTGAAAAGCAAAATGGTCAGAAGTAGTTTCCCTTTTATGAATTTTACTTCTATCAGCTACCTTGAGGGCGAGCACTTAAAGTTGTTTTAAGAGGGATATTTCTTAAATTGAACTGCGAAGAGATCAGAAAAGATCTACGACAGGGTCGCCACCCGTTAAAAGTCGCTCGAATGAAAAGCTTTAGACACGAAGAGAAACCTCTTCCAATTGTTTCGTGCATCTATGTAATAATTTATAAAGTTACCTCTGATTGTCCTCTCTTAATCTCTTTGGAAAGACCCAAAAACAGCACTAGGATTGCCCAATGCCATCGCTGTCAGCTCTTCGGTCATAACTCAAATCATTGCATTTCAGCCTGCAAGCGCGTCATATGTGATGGGAAACACGAAACTATACGGTGCACAAGAAACACCGGAGACTCCCCTATAATATGCTAACTGTCAGGGCAATCACTTCGCAAAGAATAGGGACCGTAAATATTATCCGAATAACGCGAAAAATGCAACCTACATCCACACTACCGTTTCTAAACCAGGAGCACCCCTTAAAAAGTCTATTTCTACCTCCTTAACGAAAGAGAGGACCCGCGCTAAAGACCAAGTTACGAGTAATACACTTTTCATAGTCAAACTGCTTAATGAGCTTCTCTAGTCATTGTGGTCTTCCTACAAAACCCATTGATGTACCTTCGTATTCTACTCGGGAACGACGATGGCCCGATGCAAAAGAGAGAAGTAGGCGTTTCTTATAAGAAAAAAAAACGAAATAGTTCTTGAGTAAAACACACCTAAAGCCTAAAAATCTTTAAATTGTCCAACTACATAATATATCGTAAAGAGCTGGCGTAGTTAGCTTGATACTATTAAATAGTATTCGAAATCAGCTAAGTCATGCAGGTAACTGTTGCTTAGTAGTGAATAGTCGCGAACGAAAGCATTGGCAATTATCACTGTAGGATGAGTGATGTTTACCCATTGTCTGTTCTCTCTTCCGGAGCAGCTAGTTCTGTAGCTTGTTGATTCGTCTCTTAACTAGTGGAGTTAGATAAGAAAATAGTGTCTATTCCTAGGCTATAGGTACTGGTACTATATATATAAGCGCGACGAAATAACTTTCGAAAAGGAATGTAGCAGAGCAGTCAGATGACACTTTGCCCACTCAGAGATTTTCACCAGTTAACTTTCCATGAGGCAATTGGAATCAAAAAAATACATCTTTATGGTCAAGGCGATGTAGCAATTGTCTCTCATGTAAACCTCCGGGGAAGCCTCTAGCAAATAACTGTGGACCTCGTTATGAGCTATGTGACTGCAAAAATTTAACTTTAAGTGCAGTAAGCGAAATTCTACTGAAGAAATTTTCAACAAGTAGGCCTAGATAAGAGGCTAAGTGTTTTAAGCTCCAAGCAACCCAACACGCATTCACCACTGTAGGAACACAAAAACTTAGAAGTACAATCAATTATTAACATCTTCTCAACTAAAAAGGCACCAGGCCATGATGGTATAACGAATCTCATGCTATAAACTTATCTAAATCGGTCTTAAAAACTCTTACTCTTATAATTACCGCCACTCTGGGTTTTTCACTCTTTCCGGATGGGTGGGAGGTGGTCACTGTCATTTTTCTACTAAAATAAAAAAACCTTCCTAAAACCCCGAGGACAATCGCCCAATAAGTCTATTATACTGTGCTGGCAAAGTAACAGAGTCATTTATACCTAGGTTAATTACAGATAATGTAGAGCAAAACCAAATTATCCCTTGAAAACCCATTAACTTCAGAAGGGGCCTTTAACTACCCAGCAACACTCTTGAGGTTCATTTAGCAGGTGATAAAGGGATTTAATAATTCCAACAAGACCCCATGTGCTGTTCCCTTATAAAACTGAAAAGGCTTTCGATAGAGTTAGGCTTGCGGGTCTCATAACTAAAATGACAATATAAGAATACCAAAAACACCTCTTCACCCTTACTATATCGTTTCTGCACCATAGAAAGTTTTTACTATATTTGGAAAGGTATTTCCAAGATTAAAGGAATCCAGGAAGAGCTACCTCAAGGTTTCTTACTTTCGCCTATCCTCTTCTTGGTTTACCCGGCAGAATCCCCAGACCGACCAACACCTCAACAATTTATCACAATTCACTGATGACACATCCTTTGCTATTTCTAAGTCAGTTACACTAGTAGTAAAACATGTGCAAGTATACATTAAAAGGGCCGAGCTCTGGTTCGCCCAGGGGCACCTATACTAATTTTTCAAAGAGCGCAGTATTAATTATTACCAGATGTAAAAGAATAAATTTTTAACTAATTGTCATTAATGTTATGCCAGTCCTCTGGTGCTCTAATATAAACTATCTTGGCGCAACCATTTTGAACATGTCACGAAAAAGGCTAAACTAGAGATCAGAATACTATACTCACTTATCCGCTAGAAAAGTCCTCTCTCTAAACTCAATAAGCTGTAACTTTATCTTACCACATAAATCAAACATGTTCTACGCAACAGTGGCGTGGTCTTCTTGTACCCCCCTGCCATCATTCGTCCACTCCAGGTTGTACACAAAACTATACTGACTATTTTAGGTGCGCCATAGTTTGTTCTAAGCTTTATCCTTAATCGTTACTTAGATATTGAAACACTCCACTATAATCAACGTGCAGCCAAAAGGATTATGAAAAGTTTTGGTTTCATTATACTCCGCTATATCTTCAAGAAGTAACTTACGATACAAGTTTTTTAAAAAAATACAGGGACCTCGACATCAACTTGATCGTTTGATGTACCAATGAGTAACTAATTAACCTGACCACCTTATCAACCGATGTAAGCCCACAACAAAATTAGATTAAGCAGTATTTGATTCTAAAAATATTCACCACCGTTAATGGTCGCTATAATAGCTAGTGTCACTTTTAGAGGGGCACTTTGTCTTCTACCCCATGACGAGGTTTTTGGCAAGAAATAATACTTTAAACTTTCTAGCTTGTTAAACAGTTGTGCATACGTTTACTTTACTCCTTTACTGAGTAAAGAAGGGGCCGCTTTGAATCATAACTCAAAAACCTTGATAAAATTGTTAACCAATTAAAGGCTTCCTTCATGAATAAAACTTTACGTTAATAAAGGTACTCTTTTGGCTAATAATTTCAGTTAACCAGCAATTATTTTCTACTGCGGTACAATTAAAATCTTTAATTAAATCTGTTTATTAGTTTTTGTTAAGTAGACGGCAAAAAATTAGTTGATATTACGAGGTTGCGAAGAGATATAGTTCAATGAAAAGATTATAGTTATTTTTATTTAGCTAAAGCACGGTAAAAGGCATTATGCGCCTGCTCTAAATCAAACAATAACTGTCTTTTTTGTTCTTCGTTTAATTCGTCACTTGCCTTCATGGTATTGGTGATTTCAAGCCTTTAATATCATGAATATGAAAGTGTATATTTAAAAATTACAAGCAAAACTAAATTTCTTACCACTGTCTAATTTTGCTTTTAAAATCAAAATTTTCGGAATCCTCCTGTAAAGATTTTATTTTATTCATGCTTTGTAAAAGATCGTTTAATTGTGGATGAATTTCATCTATGGCCACCATGTTCAATTTCACGGAATCCATTAAAGTGATAAAGTACTATTAAATAGTAAAATAATAATAATCTAAAAGTACCACAGGTAAGTTAACCTGAACAACTTCAGCCACGTATTGAGAAACTTTCTTACCTTCAACCTCTGTTAGACCTCCGTGTTCGATGGTCGCAGGCACACCAATTTTTAAACGATTATAGGCAGCTGGACAAGAAAAAGCGAGTATTTCTTCATAAAGCTTTCAAGATCCGTAACTTCATGCAAAAGTAAATTCTTGCAAGTTTTATACTGAGCAATTAACCTTTCACAGGCTGGAGTATACCTATAAAAGGATATTATGAAAAGGTAGTTTTAAAGAATCTATTCTCTTTTAATATTTTTACAAAAGAGAAAAGTAAAATAAAGTTTAAATTTTGATAAAAACAATTTAAAAAAGATGATTTAAAATAGAATATAAATACATTAAAACTTTCTAAAAATTACTCCTCTGCCGTTACAGAGTCTTTTACGTATGCCTTTTCCAAAAGATCCAGAGTTTGAACAATTGAAAACAGGTCAGCCATGTTATCGTACATTTCTCTTTCTTCTTTACTACTATAAAGCTTAATTTCCTTTGATAAACAAAAAAAAAAATTTATTATAGTAATATTTACATTAATAAAAAGTTAAAGTTAACTCTCGAACTACTGTTTATTTTAGGCGCGATAACAATTCAAACCTAATATTTATAAACGAAATATAGAATATTCTACAAGTCCCTTCTACACGATTCAAGTAAACTTACATTTATGTTAACACAGTCAAGCTAAAGAAATAAGTAAAAAAATATATAAAAAAAGAGTTGTAAAAGTATAGGTAGTCAAGTACAAACAAAAATCATAAAACATTATTATTGAAGTTAAAATTCTAAGTACTCGATAGTCTTCAGTCATCTAATAACACTTGTTTTGATGACTATGAAAGCAGAGTAAGTGAAAGTTAAATAATACAGAGAAAAAGCAGGGAAATGCATTCATTTAACCTCGAAAATACCCTATTACCCTTTTCCTACCTATTCACCCCAAAGTTTTAGACCTTTAAATTGCAGAGAATAAAAATGCCAGGTATAATTATAATAGTAATAAGTGACCACATAACAGATCGTTATTCTGAAATCTTCTAAGATTCATCCCTTTAGCTTCCTTGTTTAATATAAGTATTACTGTAACCGAAAGCACTTTAATATTATGCTTGCCTCTGGGTCAAAAATTCGCTCTGAGGGCTCAAACATGAGTTTTAGGCGTTTTTTTAATAACCAAAAATGTCTTAAAATTTTTTTTATTATATTAAACTTAGATAAATTTAATAGTAATTCCTGGTTTTCAATGAGTCAAAAAAACACCTGTTTTACGCGCTCTTAACAGGGTGATAGCGTACAAATTAGTTTTAAGCTAGAATTTAAGGAATCTCTACTTATGTATAACTTTTAACCTTTAGCATTAACCCACTTACAAAATACAACAGAATTCAAAGCGCATTGGGTGAACAACAATGGTGTGCCATGGTTCGCCTCTATCTCTTTTAGTAATGAGCATGTGCGCTTAGTAAGCTGTTAGTAGGGGCAATATGCACTGCGAAAAATACGGTAGTCAAGGTCAAGCTAAAGAGCGGTACTGAACTTCACATGGCGCCGAGTCAGTGTGGTAAGCCTTGGTCATAGCTATTTAAACCAGGAACAGTTCACGTAAATTGGAGGTCCTCTCGATACCAGGATATTGAAAGGGTTCTCTAGGGGACCTTAGAAATACAAATTAGCGTGCTATGGTCCTGATAAATGTCTCTTGCCTCCTTTGGATCTCCAAGCTCAAGCAGGACTGGATGATATTTTGGTTCGACAAAATTCGTAAAGAGCCTTAACTACTGTCTGAAAAAGGCGAAATCCAGCACGACTGATGTGTCAACTTTCGCTCGGTGTCTCAGGACACCGAGCCGTAAAAAACGTGGTATTCATTAGTTAAGGTTTTAGAGGTTTGCTGGGAGACATTAGCTGCAATCACACCCCACCCTCCAATTAGTAAGTGTAACATTAAAAGCATGTGATTTTTTTAAGAAATGTTCCTGAACAATTTAATCTTTTCCCCTCTCCTCTAAATTACACATATGTAGAGATGTAATGCTTAACGGAGTATACCTGAATCTATTTGTTGTGCATCTGCGCTTTTCTCCTTTAAGGGCTTGTGTGAAGTTTTTAACTCAATCGAGCACCAGGAGCTGTTATTAGTAAATGATAAATAAATAAACTTTAGACTTCTTTTCTTTATTTTTTGCTTTTTGCCTTTTGTTTGTTAAAATGTCCTCAATGCCTTTTTTTCGTGATCCAGTTTCAACAAACCTGGCAGCTGGCCTAAAGTAAGTTTAAAAGGGATTTAATTTCTGTTTAAATGTAAATAGGCATTATCCGTCTCCGTCAAAGACGTTAGGGACAACATTAACTATATTAAAAACTTATAAATATATATATATATTTTTTGAAATAATAAAACTGTATATTCTTTGTAACTTTTTGAAGTAATGCAATTTTTAATTTTAATGTTAGCTCTCTAACCTTTTTGTTCGCTCACCCAAGTGGGTCCCCCCTTTTTAGCTACCCCATCACCAAATCGTGGGCGCCTAAATAAGATGGCAGAAAATTATTTTTCATAGAATTCAGTCATATCTTGGCCGGTATGCTCATTTAGATAGCTGTTATAACCTTAAAAACCGGCTTAGATTTTATAAGCTTCAACGTTTCGAAACAGTGTGTCATCTTTGCCAGCCCTATAAAGAATTGAGGCGGCTAATGTTATTCTCTACCCAGCCAGCCGGGAGCCCGTACCGGTGCCTGAAGCGTACACGTCACCCTATCATGACACTGCTACCCCCCAGAACGTGATGTCCTTATATATTTTTTTTGAGCTGTTTTAAGAGGGGGCCTTAACTAAATGCACCCGCCCTCAAACGACCAATTTTTTTAATTTTACGCCGTCAAACGCGGACCTTAGAAGAAAGCAAACAGAAAGTTATAAGGTTATTAAACAAATAACTATTATTTCCATGGCCGTGATAAGCTATATCAGAGCAGTAAAAATGGAGAGGAATTGTCGGTTTGCTAACGGAAGATTTTTGAATATTAGAGGTGTTTCGTAAGGATAGCCTCATTTAAAAGTATAAATATCCTTCTGCGAAAACTTCGCAAGCAACTTTTAATTTAGTTTTATATGGTAAAACATAGTCGCTGCAATTAACTCATAAGAGCTATGCTTAAAGAGTGAAAGAAAGCAACATTATCTGTTCTATAAAAATTATTGTTGTAAACTGGAATATTGCTAGCCATATATTATGATGACACCAAGCGTAGTTCCTCGCTACCAAACTTAAGTTTGCCTTCAAAAACTATCAAATATTCCGCAGTGTACATAATTGTTAGAGATGAAAATTTTTCAGCTGCTAAAAGTCGTGATTCTCTAGCGTAGGAGAAAATGGGATTGTTAACTTATTAGGCAATTTTTGTATTTATATTTAACAACCAGATAATAAGATAATATATTGATTTCAACTGTCTTTATTAAGCTAAATGACAAGTTCCTTTAGCGGTCCAAAATCAACAATATCGTATTGTGGGAAAAAAAAGTCTGTAACGCTTATTTCAGGTGGTGACAATTCCTCTGCTGGCATTAAAATAAGACCAGTCCTTATAGTTATTAATAAGATCAATTATGATATATACTTTACATAATAGAAAGTAATTTATAAAACCGAGAAAAAAAATAAAAATAATTATATACTCGTTGGGATCACACTGGGCAATAATTTGAGATATTGTTTGTTGCGATATTTTTTCTCCATAGTCTCCGTGATAATTGGTTAGAATCTAAAATTATTAAGTAAAAGGCTGCGTTTCTTAGAGCGCTAATTAAGCATACAGCTATTATTAAGAAAGAAAGGAAACTGTGATTTTATATTTTGCATAACGATATACGAAGCTTATAAAAAAGTGATAAACTATTATCTTCTGTTAGTAAAAGCATAATTTTACTCGAGGACGAAAAAGATTGACGCCACCTCGCGCTTCGGAAGAAATGAACTTTTATTTGTGCGAACAACTAAGATCTGATTAGAATAGTATGACCGTTTCATTAATTATTTTATTAAGTGCCCTACATTTATCCTTTTTATCTGGTAAAGCAAATTAGCAGATCGATTTTACATATGAAATAGACTATCTAAAACTATAAGTTCCTATTATAAAAATTTCTGTTACTTATAAGTAGATGCTCTTATCTTAAAATAAATTGCTTTTATGGAAAACTTGAAAATTTTGAATGATTTACTTGGTGGTCCCGTATATCTATATTAACTATATTGTTATAAGTTCGATAGTTGAGTGCTTGCTTTTGTAGTTTATTATGCGATTGTTTTATAAGCTGTTCTATCAGCCACCTTTACGCTTTTTTTTACCAGAAGTTGCAAGTCCCGTAGGTGGAATTAAACCACACCAAAAACAAAAAACAAATACCTCGTTTTTTCGTCACATATTTTTTATTTTTCTTGGTAAGTCTACTCTTTTTTTTTTGGGTCATAAGCCTTACGAATATAATTAACTTTATATAAGAAAGAATGCTTACTTTTCTTATTTCCAATGGATTTAATTCTTTAAGAAAAATTCTTGTATCCGAAAGTTTTGAAGCATTTTTTATTAAAGTTAAGGCCTTCAATTCGATTTACGTATAATAAATAAATTAAATAAATTAATTAGAATGAAGTGCTTATTATAAAAAATTTGCGATAGTCATAATTTTTTTTATAATTTAAAAAAAAGTTAAAGAAAAAGCCGAGTAACGGTAAAAACTCTAAAGCTATAAGTAAAGTAGTACCTGTACAGCAGAATCGAGTGAAGTGTCTTCTCCTTTATCAAAGTTTTTTTCTTTAAACCATTCTCTTAGATTAATAGTAATAGCAGAATAAATAAAATGGTAATAAGTAAATAAAGACCGAAGAACTCCGATATTTTCCAGAATACGCAAACTTTTATTCCACGTGCAGTACTGATACCCCAACGTCAAAGTTTTAATAATATAATGACTGATGAACTTTGCAATTCTGGAGAAAACAGCGCTGGTGACGACGACGGGGATACCTACAGAACCAAAAAAGAGTAGTAACTATTAAGATCCAATAGAATAAGGAAAGAAGAAGAAACCATTGAGAGTGAAAAGGTTATAAATGTCCTCCAGCTCTTTGATAAAGTCGGTCATTGTTTTTCCTGCTATATTTGAAGAAGTATGCAGAGAGTGGATTACATTTTAATAAAAAAAGGAACTCTTTTATTATACGCTTATGGGCTCTTTATATGTCTACCAATTGGGTTCATGTACGGAAACCCTCTCGTTTACTTTTTATACGTGGCTAAAAGACAAGTTTTTTTTATGACTTTTTTTAGGGATATAATCATCCACAAATGTTATTAAAAACTGATAAATGTAGAATGTCATATAAACTTTTTTTTCCAAAAACTTTTTTGGCCAGTATAGGGCTAATTATTATATGATAATACATAATATAATAAAAAGCTCAAAATAAACATAAAGAAAGTACCCCCCCATTTCCCGAAAAAACTTTTGGACGAGCTTTTACTTCGATCAGTAATAATAAATAAGTTCGTTTTTATTTTTGATTCAAGAGCAGAAATAAATTTCTATATTGTAAATAAATAATAAAGTAAATAATAAATTAGTTATACAGTATATAGCGTCTTCAAGTTATAAAATACCTGTAAAAATTTTTTAAAAATAATAAAATGGTTTAACAAACATTATAGAATATTCATGTTAAACAGTATAATATATAAAAAATATTAAGATTTGTAAGTATATAAATTCGGAATATTAAAAGATATATTTTTACAAAATTAAAAAACATAAAAAAAAACAAACTTCCATTTTGTAATAGTAGTATAGTTTTATAATAATATAAAAGTTTTAGAAGGTATACGCAAAAAGGATTTTATGAATTATATTAATAACAAAAAAGAAAAAGACAACAGAAAATAACTTTAGCAATAAATTTAAAAAATTTAAAAGGAAAAAGTTTTTATTAAGCCTACAATATAAGATTCTAGAAAAGAAATAAACTACATTTATAATATGACATACAAATAAACTTAATAACTTTATATAACTTTATGAAGAGAAGAAAAAATTTTGAATAATTAAGTTTAAAAAAAGTTATAAATTCTAAAGATTACTAGAATTAAGGCTTCTCTTAAAGTAACTGAACCAATAAATTTTAGTAAAGTTATGGCAAACAAAGTTAGAAGGTATTCAATGATATTATAACCACTATTACATTAAACTTTGTATTAAATGTTATAAAATTATAATAATAACTATAAAATTACTATACAAAAGTCAAACTAAGCAACTTTTGTGTAATATAATATTCATAATATTAATTTAAAATAAAAAAATTATGCAAATGATTCAATAATGAATACAAAAAAATTACTAATATGAAGGCAACACATAAAATGGTTATAAATAATAGATGTCTATCTCATTAAACGTATAAGAAAAGTACCCGATAATAAATAAGAATTAACTTCTTCACGAGCTTAGTGAAATTCGATAAAACAATTTTTACTGCGCTTTGCTCGGTTAAAAGGTTGGATACTATAAAAAAGACAGAAAAAATATATATACTCCCGCTGGACAAAAAAAATAATATTGTAAATTTCAAGTGTACATAATAAAAATATATAGAAAAAAGTGGACATGTAATGTAAAATAAGATAAACTTACAAAATATGATAACAACACCAAATAAATGCGATAAGTTTATTATATACTTTTGCATAGATTTTCTTACGGAAAAATACTAAGTAGTTTGTGTTCAATAATATACAAAATCACTATGGATTACTAATAAAAACAGACATAACAGTTTTGAACTTAAGTTTTTGTGGGAAGTAAGGTGTTCGCTAACTCCGTTTTAAAAATAGTTCGGATATACAAAGTGAACCTAAATAATATAAATTGTT